AAAATTAGAGAAATCTTAAATGACGTACATAATTCTATAATTTACTACACAATCGAGTTTAGAGCGAAGAAAACATATATCAATATGGAAACTAGTAAATGACAAAAAAAATAAAATGTGAAAATATTCACCAGATTACTGTTATATAATTATCTGTTTTCTCTTAAAATAAATATTGCGGTTAGTTGGTGAGATGGGACAGCCTATACATTTTTGCATTCTATGAGTAATTGTATAAGTGGGTTGTTTTGGAAACCAAGCTTAATCTAGAACTCTATAAACAGGGTATTTTTATTGTAAACCTTATAGGATCAGAGGGTTCACAGCGATAGTTTAAATTGTTAGGTATTGTCAAAAGTAATTGAACATTCATTCTATGAATTGTAATTGAGTGTCCGTTTTAAGCATCTATAGCAATAAGGAATTTAATATTTTGTTTCTTTCTAATTTGTGGATGAAATAATGATGCAAAAAATAAAACAGACAATTGTGCCACCTATTTTTCATTTTTTTTTTTTTTTTACTAAGTATGGAATAAAATGATATACTGTTATTGAGTAATTGATTTGCTAGAAAGCAATCCCTCAAAAAACAAAACAAAAAAACAAACCTCGCATTTCTGGAAAGGTACGTCTTTAAGCTGGTCTAACTAAGCAGAAACAAAAAATTGTGTTTCCAATAGACAAACATGGAATCTGCAACACCAGGCTTGCTTTACCAGATGGTATAAGGGGCGATACAAACAGAAAACCTAAATATTTTCTATTAGGAATTCTGCAATTTAAATAAAACAAGAAAGTCACTGCTAGCACACATACATTTTGTCTCAAACTATCCTGATTTTGGCTGGACAATTTCTATTTAAGGGTTCTGTCCCTCCAGCCTGACTTTGTTCCCCGATGTCCCCAAGTTCAGGGCACCGTGGGATCAAGTTGGGATGGAAGGACAGGACCCCAGAAAGTGCTATGCTCAGGGCAATAGGACAATGCAAAGAGCACTTACACATTCATTCCAGGATGACCTGCCTATTTTTTGGGCAGGACCTCCTTCTTTCCAGGCTGGACTGGATCCTTTATGTTGCACAAATGATAGGATCCATGTCACGGGACCATCCCATCAACCAGAGCCCCATTTTAATGGACACTGACACAGGGGGGCATAAATGTCTAACAATGGGCCAAAATGCGCATGCACAGAATCCCACACCAGAATGACATTTAACCCCCTCTACAACCACCAAATACCCCCAATTCACACACATTCATAAAATGTACACATTTCACAGCGTAATAGCAACAAAATATTCTAGCTGTCTTTTATATTTGGTATATAGAAATATTTGGCAATTTACCAACTACACTCTTGCATCATTCTATCTTTGTCTTTCAAGGTCTTTGCGTTTACCTATATTCCTTTGTGTGTGTGTGTGTGTTTCAGGTATCATAATGTTTGCTTTTAGGCCTTAATTTAATATTTTTAGATAAGCTTTTCAAATAATTTAATATTTTTAGATTAAACTATTTAAAAAAAAATGTAAATATAAAAAAATCTATAGCATATCAAGAAACTAAAATATTTTTCATAATATTAAAAAATTTTAAGGGTGTATCCAAAAATATCAAATTGAGCCGTAAATCTGAAACAAACTGCATAACTTGATAGAGATTAGAGTCTGGTGTAAAAAAAAAAAAAAAATCTAACATTTGAGTTAGACAATAAAAAAAGGTGATTTTTTTTTTTTTTTTGTAAAAACTCGAAAACTTTCTGAAATCTTTGTCAATGGACAAAAATCTCAGAAGAGGTTGAGCATCATAAATCTTTCTCTCAGAACCACGTGCCTGGAATTTCAGGGCCAACTATTACGTTTTTGTCCTTTCTGTTTGAGCGGCGTCTCTTAAACTCTGTTTTCAAGTTCTTCTCAGCCCAGCTATATGCAGTGATCTTGGTTAAAATAAACATTTTGTAGCATTTCTGTCTGCTCCACTATTCTCTTCCTGTTGAAGCAGGCTATGCACTCTCTAGTTCCCACAGGAAACAACCCACATCTACTGATCAGGAAGGATGACCTGCTAAAGAACCAGTTGGAGCAGAAACTGTTTCAGAGGCCTTTACTAAAATAGCTCAGGAAGGGAAATGAACCAACATTGCTGGTCGTAAGTGATTTACGACCTGAGTGTATTGATATATAGCAGTTTTAGGATTGTATGAGCTGAAAACACATCTAAGCACAAGAAAAGTTTGCATTGTAACCCTCAGAGAATGAAAATGTCATTATATAAGGAGTTATTGTGTCTCTAGCATCAGGCTGCTCCAACATGAAAAATTTTACATATAGTCAAAACAGGAAATAATTAACTGGCAAACAGTGTGGATTAAGGGGAAAAAAAGCAGACAGAAAATATGCACTTACGTGCTTATGCTCGAAGATGGCTGGTCATCAATTATAATTCACCCTTATTAACAATTTATACAGCTAAAATTGTCTTATCTGAGTAGACCAATGTTTGAGAGATTCATGTTATTTTCCTGAATGTGGAAATTGTAAAGAATTTCAAGCAATTTAGAAGTCTTGGTCAAACACAGCCGAGGCTTCTCAGGCCTAGTGAATAATCCTAAAATCAACATTTTTAGACTTGTGCATATGGTTTAAAACAAATTGGGATTTGTTTCAATTTTGTGTGATCAACAGTTCTCCTGTATTCCATAACTTTATACAGAGTATCACGAAGCAAACGTATCACAAAACAAAGGAAACAGACAATAGACAAACCGTTTTGTTAGGTTTGTGCTTTGGCTGTGGTGCCAAAAATAGAGATGATTGATGGTTTCGGGCAGCCACTAAATTTAGATTTTATTCACAGATCAAGTGAGAAGTTACCAATAGAGGGAAAAAAGGTGGAGCAGGAAAAAAATCTATATTTACATATTTAAATGTTATATATTTAAAGGAACACGTTAGGGTCAGGAACACAAACATGTATTCCTGCCCCTATAGTGTTAAAATCACCATCTAGCACCCCTGGACTCCCTTCCCCCCTAAATATAGTACAATCTTATTTTGTTCAAGTCTGAAGCTGCTGACTCTGCCCCGATCTGCCTGCTTGGCTGACATCATCAGAAGTGGGGATCTGAGCCAATCACAATGCTTTCCCATAGGACTGACTGAGACTGTCAAGGAGGCAGATCAGTTGCAGAGCCAGCACAACTGTTACTGTTGTAACATCTTGCATGTTTTTTCACTCATCACCTGTAATAGCATGATCCCTTGATTTAAAATATCCTGCTTTTTTTATTTGCAGTTACGTTAACTTTGAGTGGGTTATCTGCAGTTATAAACCAAGACTCACGGCCAACAATTACCTGTCAAATACGGAAAAACAGCAGAGCGGCAGATGAAACACAAATGAAACCCATGGTAAAAATAAATCACTTTCTATGGAAAACTTAAGACATATTCAGAATGTTTCTTACTTCAGCATTCTTTTGTCCTGCAATATGTCCACTGTAAACTGTTTTATTAGCCTGATCAGTAGTTAGATTCTCTTAAAGGGGCACTGTCACTTTTCTGGGGGTTACACGACTGAGTAAAACACTGATAATCACCTATAATTTCTTTTAAAGTGACACTCTAAGCACAAAAACAACATTAGCTAAGGGAAGTCAGTTTGTTGTATAGATCATGCCCTTGCAGTCTAACTGCTCAATTCACTGCCATTTTCTGACATTTTTCCATGGCTGTCCATATTCATAAGGCTGCACTCTTCACAGTATTAATGTATTTGTGAATTGGTGTGACCATATTTTTGCATGTATATTTAACTTTGCATGACATCTATTTGCACATTTCTATGGCATGAATTGATTGTATATGCATCGCATTAACTGGCATTGATGTATTCTAAGAAATATACAAAACTGAACACATAGTTACATAGTTACAGAGTTACATAGCTGAAAAGAGACTTGTGTCCATCAAGTTCAGCCTTCCTCACATATGTTTTTCCTGTTGATCCAAAATAAGGCAAAAAACCTAGTCTGAAGCGCTTCCAATTTTCTAACAAACTAGGAAAAAAATCCTTCTTGACCCCAAAATAGCAGTCAGATGTCTCCTTGGATCAAGCGGCTATTACCCCACTAATTAACTAATAATAAACTATATCCCTGTATGTTATGTTTTTACAAGTATTTATCCAATTGCAGTTTAAACATCTGTATGGACTCTGACAAAACCACCTCTTCAGGCAGAGTCTTCCCTAGTCCCTAAATAAAGTGCTAACCGCATGGTGAATAAAAGTAAACACAAAACTTTCCTTAAGTAGTTGCAACTACCCAGAAAATATCCTCAAGTCTTCTGAATGCAAATATATGGTATGTAAGGGTAGTTCCAACATAGATAAGAAACAGCAAATAAAACAGTCCTACGCGTTTTGTCACCTCCAGGGACTTCCTCAAGGTCAAATGCTGCTGAGTACACAATCAAATGAATTTGATTGTGTACTCAGCAGCATTTGTCCCTGAGGAAGTCCCTGGAGGTGACGAAATGCGTAGGACTGTTTTATTTGCTGTTTCTTACCTATGTTGGAACTACCCTTACATACCATATATTGATGTATTCTAGTATTTTTGTCTGGACCGCCGTTACAGTATTCTTCTGTGTATGACTTCAGATGTCTGATATGACATGGCTGTTCCAGCATGGTCACATGTTATTTCCGCTATAGCGCTTCCTTTGTTTATGCATGGATATTAACATAATGATATGTTTTAATAGTGTGTCATCAAGTAAATATGTTAAATACCAAAGTCAGGATACATGTGTAAAGATTTCCATGATTTTACAGAATACAAAACACTTGATAATTCTTGTGTTCTTGGATTCTTCTGCTGCTCAAACAGTATGTAGTGTTTTTCCTATGTCTTACTGTCTCTCTTTCTGTTTCTCTGCCTGCCTGTCTGTCATATATATTTGTAATCTTGATTTTGTTTAGCTTTACAGTTCAATGAGGAATGCCACTAACTTGCGATGTTATTGGAGTTCCCAATATGTTAATAAAGCTGCAGTGACTGTGGAAGTCAATTTATTTGATTCGGTAAAACTTGAAGTAGTGCATAATACAAGTGAATCTGTGTCTTCCGTCTGGAAGCTGAAAAATAATAATTTTCAATCCCACGTGAAACATACCACAGAGGATAGGTGAGTTATAAACAAAATAAAAACATTGAATGTATAACCTTTATAATTGTAAAATTCGACATATTCGCTGCTACAAGACATGTAGTCTTCTTTACTATGTAAATGGCTGTATTAAGAGACTAACATCCTTTGCAGACTGTAACTTGTTTCCTTGTGAATCCTGTTGAATAGTTTCCCTCATGGATGTTCCATGCCTGGATGCAGACCAGATTACCCAAGGAAGTTATTTTGAGTAAGCTAGGCACCTCCAGTTCTTATCCATCCCTGTTTGGACTCAGATCAGGAAAATGTTCCAGGCGGATTTAAAGGAAAACTCCATTAAAAAAAATTAGTTGATATGCCCCCAAAGGAACTAGGCATGTACATTGTTTCACAAGTTTAATTTGGGGGAAAGAAATTTTGTTTTGCAATAGCTGCAGATTTGGCCAGCCCTCCCCATTCTTCCCTAGCACAGCCTTTCTGTAGCTGTCCATTCACAGACTTCTTAATGGGCTGGTTAACACGTCATTGAGAGTTTTTGCAAGGTAGGTGCTCTGTGAAATTATCTGCTTAATGGGTTTAGAGCCAAGGAGGTGTAACAAGGCTCACTTATACAATTGCCAATTTCTGTTGATATTAGCACCTTTATAAATTGTTTTAAACATATTCTTCTAGACATATTCTCCTAAAGCAGTGGTAAGTTACCTTCAGAAACTCCAGATGTTGTGGGCCACATGTCCTCTGATGACAGTGAGAGCATTATGGGAAATGTAATCCACAACATGTAGAGTGCCGAATGTTGTCTACCCCTTTTCCAAGGCCCTGTTAGTGCTTAACGTATTTAAAGTGTTACTCTAAATTAGTACCTTGGTATAACAGTCCATTGGAATACCAATTAAAGGACTGACACTCTGAGCACCAGAACCACTGCAGCTTACTGTAATGGTTCTGTTATAAATATATTTCCCTGCAGCCTAAGCAACGCAAAGGCAGTTGGCATGAGGTATAAGGTAACCTCGAGTGGCTGTCACACAGCCACTAAAGGCCCTTCCTAGTGCGGTCCTGTAGTCTTTGTAGGACCAATGTTGGACATCTTCACACTCCGCATGAAGATGCTCCACATGGAGATGCATTGCGTCAATGAATCTCTATGAAGAGATGCTGATTGGGCAGCAGTGTGATACAGAACACAGCATATTGGGGGCTACCAAATGTGTGTACATATGTGTCTATTATGGTGGGTACCTTTAAGGATGATGCTACAATATCCAGGTAAGTCTTTATTTCATGACAAAAGTAAGCTATTTTTATTAGCCTCAAGAAAGTGTATATTTTACAATTAGAAATGAACGTGATGTGGGAATAATAGCAAGTAATCTTTAGAAAAAATTACAAACTGAAAGTCTACCTTTTAACCTATACATTTGCTTGTATACCTATACATTTCTATGGCTCAGTAGAGATGCACTCTGTATACCTACCCCGAGCTGACCTTGTCGTTCACATCTGTTGCCAATAACAGATCTATTTTAAACAATGTAACAGTCAGTGAAACTAACTCGCTAACGGGGTAGGTGGAAGGTGACTTGGTCAGACATTGAGGCGATATTCTCTGAGACATGATATGAGTTGTACAGATCCTTCAGTGAGTGGAAATTATCCAAATCTTCATTAAAAGTTAAACCTCAAACCAAGGTGCTGCTGGTAACTGCTCATCTAATGTCTTTTATTGGATTTTGCAGATGTGATTCATGCTAAGAATGTGAGGTGAAATTCACACTTCTATCAGATCAGGAATAAGACAGAGAGTACAAACGTATATGAAATTAACTATCAGATGCTATTTAAAAATCCCTGTGAAATTGTAACGTCAGTAAAGTTAAGAGAATATAACACAAGCAGATTTCTGTTCATGAATATGAGAGATTATAAGTGAGTGATTATGGTAATATGGTAATAAAAAAAACCTTAAAGCAACAAGTGGCCCCAAGATGAGTCCCGTAATTTTTCCAAAGTGGCCCCAAGATGAATCCCCTATTTTTCTTAGCTCTACTGAGTTCGGACAAGTTGGGTGACCAATGACTTCATTGGAACACTGATTCAGTAGTTCCATCGGAAAGGAAAAATAATCTCTACGTGCAAAATCCAAACATGCAACAAGTACAGTTACACCAAGTATCTTTACTATGATGGGTATTAATAATGCATTATTTTTGATCACACTATAGTTTTACGTTTCCACCTTCTTTTTATTACTCTATTGGATTTCCATGTCCTTATTGTCAACTTCTGTAAACAATCAGAGGGGTCCAGCATAGTCCATAGACTTATCTAAGGATAGAAATTTGCTTGAATGTTGCTCATATCAAACACAGATGACTCAATCCATCATTAGGGATAGTAGGAATTATCATTGAGATATTTTGCAATCTTGTATCCTGGCAAGTACTCTGCTAAACTCCTTGACATCTTTCTTGAAATGCATCTCGGGTCTAACCTATTTTTCCCAATCAAGGTTCGGTTGAGCTGAGCCCCATTCATATCCATGGAATTTAACTTAAGGAAGTTCAGATAGTAAGAAGAATTCTCAGAGCACATGTCTTCTCCAAGTTAGGGGCTACAAACAAAAATGTTGGACTTTCTGAATTTCATAAAGTTAAAACAAGTGTTTTGATATTCATCCATTGATAAAAAATTTTTAGTTAAAGATTAATTCAACAGAAAATAATTCATGTTGATATCATCTATATTATACAGAGGAATTAGTTCTCTAGATCTCACGACGGTTACGGAAAAGCACGCTGGAGAATATGAACTCTCAATCAGTAATGGAAAAAACAACTACTCCATACAAATTGCCGTGAAAATAAAAAGTAAGTAAGTATCCAATTTATATTATATTATATATTATATTAAATTACTGATAGATTTGTGCATATATAATTAATAAATAGGATTTAACATGCTTGGTTGTGTTATACATAAAAAATTGTATCAGATAATATTGAAAGTATATTCATTTTTAAAGATCTATTAATTATTGTATTTATTAAAGTTATGTGAAACAAATCACGTAGGATTTTTGTTTTGTTTTTAAATCATCAAAGCATCACAGGAGATTCTGCATCCATGGTCCTTTTTTTTCCATTTTCAAAAAGACGGTTGTTTATTTAATTAATATTTAATTGTAGAGGTCGAAAAACAAACAAACAATCGTACCAAACAAACAAACTCAGAATTATGTAAATTATGGGCAAAATAACCCATTCATAAAAATTAGCCAACTTTTTATGGTTTCAACTTTAACTAGGTAAATTTTACTGTTTGGCTTTCAGTTCCCTAAAATACACTATTCATTGTATAAGCCATGATGTTGACTTTAAATGAAACACTGCATCAGGTAAGAATTTAAGGACAGTTTCACCATCTCCCACTTAGTTTCATGTTCCTTAAAATGTACTCAAATAAAGATGTTCCTACTAGCCTCTAATCAGCAGATACATTCTATTGGTTTACTTGATGAAGTCTTTACTTTTAGGAGTTCAACCCACTTTTCTGTTGACAATGCTACTTTATTTCTCTCCCATTGTGCTTGTGTTGCTAGTGGTATTTATGTCTGGGAGTTATTTTTTTAATCAATGGCCTACAGTTTGCTCTAAAATAAAGATATACAGACCGGACCCCTAAGAGGCACCTACTGGACTATCTTCAAGGGAGAGGAGTCATGTATCTAGAAAAGCATAGCAATAGCAGTTACTGAAACTACATTTCCAACAAGCTCTCTCTTCAAGAACTGTATATAAAAATTATTCTTTAAAGCGGGTCTCTCACGAATAATAAACTTGATCTAATCTGCTTCTGTATAGTTGCCCGTGTTTGAATCTATTTTTATTACTTCCCTGAGTGATCTAGTTTTCATACTTTTCCTTATGTATAGCAGTCAAGTTGCTACAACCTGACAATGGACTGGGCTTAATCAAAGTTCTTTTTCAATTGTCCATATTTACCCACAATCCATCAGTAAATTGATGGGCTAAAAACAGACATCATGGGTAGAAAAAAACAAAATCAACAAAATGTATACAAAATCCTGGTGTGTGATAAATTGTATTACACACTCTAACACCTGTGTGGTTTCCTTTCCTCATTTATTTTCCCAGGTAAACCAAGAAAGCCATATTTTGAAGAATATAGAAATAATGTGAGCTGTATGTCTGAAAGCTATCCTGCACCTTCGGTTGTTTGGAAATTCTGCGAAAAACCTGATGATATAAGGTATTGTGAGAAACATCACATTGATTAAATATTACTCATGACACATGTTAAGAACGAAACAATGTCTTTAGCTCTTACCATTCTCACCATATTTGCTGAGCCACCTTCCTGTCTCTCCAGCTGTTTACCAGCACATAAGGTGTACTTTTGTCTTACATTGTAGTGATTCACACGTTGCTTCTTGATTATATCCATGGTTTTTCATTTCTAAGTTGTCTTTAGAATGTATCATTATTTTGTGCAATACCGTTATTATTGTTATTTATTATAGTTGATAGGACAGAATGTTTGCAGTGGTATAAATAGATTCTTCCCGCTATTGTTGCCAAGTTTTTGTCCTGTCCTCTCAGCCTTGGGACAGCTCCCTTCTTACTGACCTTTGTAAAGGCTGCTTACTGGCAGCAGCTGAATTCAAGGAACAAGTAATTTCTACACCCCCACCTGATTTAATAGGTTGGATATGGTGAGCATTAGCTAAAGAGTTATACGAATCTGGTAAAAGGCTAAATATGGTCCATTTCACAAATCTTCACCTTCATCTCAAGATGATTTAAGAGGATCAAACGTTATGCCCTAAGCAACGAGGAATTGTGCAACCTCTGAATCCCTAAATACAAGATCTGTGGATTAGCTAATTGCATTAATAAGGATCTTATCCAGATGCCACCCTGTCCAAAGTATCTGTCGAGAGCTGTGAAAGCATGGATTGGACATTTGAAAGAAGATATAGTTAAAGGGATAATGCATGGAAAACGTCTGTAGTTCCTAAAGGATGTTAGATGTTAGGTGAGTTTGTTTCAGAAGAAGCAATGGATCTACACAGAACAAAGAATACCCTAGCTTAGACTTTGAATAACAGACATATCTTCTAAAGAAAATCTCTGTTCACTACTGTTTTGCATTGCTTGGAAAGTCAAAAAAAGTTGGATTTACAAAACGGAGGGCTTCCATCCCCAATAGGGTCATTCACTTCTTCCAAGGGGGAAAAACCCCAAACAAAATTCTACCAGGACATCTAAATACCCAATACAGCATCAAGCGAAAAAGAGAAAGGGGGGTACAAATAAAAATGAAAAATAATAAATCAGTGCTTTAAATGGATACTATAGTCACCAGACCATGTACAACGTCTTTTATTTTTTCTGGTGAGTATAGTCAGTCCCTGCAGGCTTTCAATTGTTAACACTGCCTTTTCAGAGAATGTTGTGTTCCTGACCCCATAAGCTTTATTTGACATAATTTTTAATGAGGAAAAAAAAACAATGCATATTAAAATTTTATGGAGTAATAATATGTTCTAGCCAAATGTTACTAAACACCCCTAAAACAAATTGCAACACACAATGCCTTATAGGGTTACTTTAAATATTTGAAGTGGGGACCTGTTCTGAGTCTCCCTCCATTTTGAATAAAACCTGTAAAAGGTAAAAAAGCCAAATTCCATGGCCCCTCCGACATTGCAGGGGCCACGCGCTGTCCAATCACAGGATTCTTATTAAGCGCCATCCTACACAGAGCGACAGGCAGGAGGGGGGTGCTCTGTGCACCCTCTTCTTCCTGTCACTCTGGGTAAGCACCACCCTGCTTAGTTCCCAAGTGTTCCAGTGAATTGAAAATGTATGTGTTATGGTAAATCAATCCAGTAAATGTATCCAAAAGGGAAATAATAATTGGAAAATTGTTATCACAGATGCCAGTCAGAGAGGACGGGGAGCTCAGTACTGTATATACTATGTACAAGCCCAATGGCCAAGTCACAGCCAGCAACTTCCAACATTTGAGAATTTACGAGCAGCCTGTGTCCTGTGTGGGATGTGGGTGAGAGTTTTTATAGACAACAAGGTTACACAGCAGAACCCACAACTCGATCACAAATGGCTGCTTTCAAGGAGAGTGCTTCTACAGACTGACAGAAGATGAGAAATGCCCCAAGCTGATCTAATAGCATAATATCAGAACAACCAGGTTCTGGACTACTTTTCCAGAGGGTTAAATCCAACAGCAATAAAGAGAGATGTCTGGAAAAGAATATGGAAGTTAATCCTGGGATATGGGTTTTCCCCCATCCCTCTTAACCCAAGAATGCTGAGGAAATAGCAAAACAAAATCCATTCATTACAATTCTCTCGTACTGGCAGTAGACCATGGCTCTCTCTTCTCACCAGACTGACCAAGGAACCTCTATAGGAACCACCTAATAAATGTGGTTTATAATTTTGCAATAATTCTCCCTCTCTATCTTCATTGCTTAGGTATTACCTCTAGGTAAATACCGCAGCGGTTAACCTGAATAAGGAATATATAGTCATACTTAATGTAGTTTATTGTTTCTGCCATTTATCCATGACAGCATTTTATAAACTCTCTTTATAAAACACTAATTAAGATACTGTTAAACTATTTGGGGTGCGATCACCCCCTATCATTTGATGAAGAAGGAGTTACCCTAAAGTTAATGCTGCCATGCATATTGAGTACATTTTCATTGTTCTTTTTTTCTTGTGATGGTATTTACAAGTGATATATATATATATAGATATATATATATATATGATGTAATAAGGTCTTCCTGTGAAATGTTTATTTTCTGCTGTAGTGGTTATGGTACCAGGATTACCTTGGCCCTGTCTCACAGTAAGATGTCAAACCGTTTTAGTGCAATTTGACAACTTACCTATGTTTGTTACTGCATTCCCTATATCGGATCTTATTCAGCAAAAAATCTGGATTTCTCTAAAGAACAGCTGAACACTCTCTGTGAATGACTGTGGTCCAGTATCGGCTGTCCGTTGCTCTATAAGATATCGGACTTTCCTTGTTGGAGAAGACAGCATACATATCTGGCACCTAGCAGGATCAGCAATGAATTTCATAATCAGTATAAATGTAAATAAATTCCTGGTGTAAAAGAATCTTACAATAAACCAAAACCCGCATAGATCATCTTCTGTTACATTTAATGAAAGTGATTTTTTTCTATACCTGGATTTTCTTAAAATTGGTAAAAGTACATTTAAACTGAAGTACAAATGTTTGATATCTTTTTATTGAAAACATAGAATAAAAGGGTTGTTTTTAATCACTTTACTGTGATTGATCAAAAAAAGAAAATGCTCTTTAATATTATAATAATGAACAAATGATCTTGATGATTTATTACAGCTGTGTAAAAAACAATGGCAAAATTACTAGCAGCAGCACAGACAGTTACGGAGTAAAAAGGGTCATGAACAGTATCGAAGCTAGCTATCTTCTAGATGAACATATCTGGTGTTGTGCCAGTAACAGTGTCGGCGAGGAATGCACTGAGGTTTACACTATAGGTAATAAACATGATTTTATCAGATCTGTCATATAAATTATCCATTAAGTGTTTTCTACCTTGCATAATCAATAGCAGACAGCCTAAATGTCCAATGAGCTAAGAGTGATTAAAACGTATTGTACTATAATTGAACATATTTTGTTATTTCACTATTTAACACCCACCATTACATTTCTTTCTACCAATAGCACAGTGATAAGTGATACAATTCTCTATATTGTAGAAGAGATTCAATGATGGGCATTAACAGATTGATTGTTATATTTCTATGATTTTACTATGGAAAATTTTCACATTTTCCACAATATTGCCATCACTATAGTATTGCACAAATTAGCAGAAACACGAGATTTTGTTGGACCCTATATTGCTTTCCTAACCTGGGGTTAAGGGGCTGGAGATAGAGGCTTTAACTAAACCTGTTAGATTTTAGTTGTGTGAACTAAAGTCTACTGGAGAGTGAGTCGATTAAAACTAGACAAAAACTAGTTTAGTATTTACTAAACAGTGATTTATTTATTTATTTTTATTTGCATTTGAGCAGTGGAGTGTCCTTTTAAGATTAGAATAATGTGAGTTACTTCAAAAATGGAAAGGAGTTTTTCAATTGTTTTAAGACTTATATTTTGATTGTAACTGCTCCGTATCTGCAATATTCTTTTTATTTTTTTATTTTTTTCAAGATCTTGGATCAAACAAACATGCGCCTGAAATATTACTGAAAATTGGAGAGCCTATTGTCATGCGATGTCGAGCTGTTTATGATACGTATAAGTTTCAAGTGATGTGGGAATTTAAAAATGAAGTAAGAAATATTCTAATACTCTTTCATTTGTTGGTAATCATGTTAGTCAGGCAGAAGGGATGAAGAAATATGAGTTAGATATTCATCTATATATATCATGGGTCGTCAACCTGGTCCCTACCGCCCACAAGTGGGCATTTCAGGATTCCAGGTGGGCGGTAGGGATTTCCTCATTTGGAGAGATTGGGTGGGTGAGTGCGAGCCGGCGGTACCCCTGCGACCGGGTACCGCCATCACCATTTGCGGCCTTGGCCCGCGCGGCAAACTGCCGGGGCCGCCGTCCAAGGGGTTCATCGGGTGGCCTATGCTGTCAGGGCCAACCGATGGATGTGAATTGTAAGGGGGCCCGGTCAGCGCTGGGCACTTTAACAGTGCGACCGGGCCTCCTGTGATTACATTAAACACTGGGAGGAAGTGACTGCACGTCACTCTTCCCAGCTAAAACACAGACAGCGTGGGAGGAAGCAGAGGGAGTCAGAGTGGGGACTCCCATCCACCTGAGCCACCACTGAACCCCAGGGAAAATCACCCTCCTGCACCTTAAAGGTAGGAAACAGGAGGGTGACTTAAATATATTGTGTTTGTGTGTATGTGTCTTTGTATGTATGTCTTGTGTGTGTGTGTCTTTGTATGTATGTCTTGTGTGTGTCTGTCTGTATGTGTGTGTCTGTCTGTATGTGTCAGTATGTGTGTGTATGTGTCTTTGTATTTATGTGTGTCTTATGTATGTGTCTTTGTATGTATGTGTGTGTCTTTGTATGTATGTCTTGTGTGTGTGTGTCTGTATGTCTTGTCTTTGTATGTATGTGTTGTGTGTGTTTTGTCTTTGTATGTATGTGTGTCTTATGTATGTGTCTTTGTATGTATGCGTGTCTTGTGTTTGTATGTATGTCTTATGTGTGTGTGTGTGTGTGTGTGTATGTGTGCCTGTCTGTTTGTATGTATGTGTCTTTGTATGTGTGTATGTGTGTCTTGTGTGTGTGTTTATATGTATGTGTGCCTGTCTGTTATAGTGGGCTATAGTAAGTAATAGTAAGTGGGCTACCTAGCTCAGTCTTCCTACTGGGCATTGGTATAAGTAAGGTTAAAAAATAGAAAAAAGGAAAAAAAAGTGGGCAGGGGAATTGAGGAGGGGACGCACAGATGAGAAATCATATTATGCGCAAACAGAGAAGTCGTCTGAATATCACCGAAAGAGAAGAGCTTCGTTTGTTCCTTACGAAAATCGAACCAGATATAAAATATTTAGTCTCGCAGCATCAACCTCAAGGTTCTCATTAATCACTAGTAAAGGTAATTTCAATTCACTGTATTGTTTTCTCATTAAACTTTATAAAGTTAAAAACATCATAATCATGCATTAAGTTGAAATAAAAAGATAAATGTACGTAAAACACCCTCCTTTCTAAAAATTAGAAAAAGGTTTTTAGAAAAAGGTTGACTACCACTGATATATATCAAACATAAACCTTCAATATACTGAAAACCTAATTTTTGTAAAGAAAACAGTCCATGGCTTTAACTAATGATATTCTATATCTCAGGGCTGGTTTTTAATTATATGGACTATGATAAATACAGCTGATTCAAAAATATTAATATGAGCAAAAAGTTAAAACATATAAATCAAATGTTAAACAATTACATGTACCTTGCACTCTCTTGGTAAATGCCTTCAAGATAACTAAGAAGATCTAGCAAACACAAAGATCATCCTTAGGGGTAAATTACAATCTATCATTTGTTATTTATTAACATATTGACAGCATCTAATTAGCCATTAATGATATCGTAGTGATTATTACTACCCACCATTCCAATACATTGTATATTACGCTAAACACTTATGTTTTGGTATTCACAATCTTTCTAAAGAGCAGTCATTTACACTCTCAGGAAACCATGACACCAACTCTTAAAAGTCATTGTAAACACTTTTTTTAAACAATTAAACAATGCCCCAATGTTCCCAATATTCAGATTGAACACCACAAGCAACGCCCTTGACTTTATAATGCAGCCACCTAGGTAAATTGTTAAAATATTCTAAAATGGTTTGACAAAATACTCTCGAAGGGTGCTAGAGTGTTTCTGGCACCATAGTTACGGCAGTTCGCTCTCATGGTTATGGTGCCAGGCGTGCCCTGATGTCCCTCTAATGTAAGAAGCCAAGCCATTTTAGAATGGTTTAACTTCTTACCCAGGGTCTGCCGAACACCATCCTTCTCCTTCCCTAATGTCCTCAGAGAGCTGGTAGCTCTGTGTCTAGGCTAAGCCCTGTGATGCAGAACATTCTGGATCCCCTGGTTGGAGAGAGGAGGCAAGGAGTGGTGCCTGGCACCTTTCTAAAATGGTTTCACTTCTTACCATGTGATGCACCAGGAATCTCCTGGCACCATAATGACTACAGCTGGATGCGGTGGTTATGGTGCTTAGAGTACTCCTTCAATGACAAAAAATCTTACTTCAAGGCATGTACATGTACTCTTTCCACTAGATGATGTGCAGATTACACTCTTTAATGAGTACTTTTTTCAACTGTTTGTATTTGGATTCTTCATAGGTACACTGCTTTGAGGAAAGCATGCATATTGGTCATAATTCTACGGTTAGAGTATCATTCATGTCTTCTAAGTCGGTGAGAAGTGAAGAAAGTGGAACATACATGTGTGTATCAACATTTTCCCGCAATTCTACAACAGTTACGGTCCTAGGTAATATTTTATAATAATATTGACATGGTGTTAACTGTTGAATTACATTCTGGACATTCAGGAAATATGGACTGTCAGAGCTGCAATATTTGAAGTGAATACTTGCTTTGTCTTGGGATATGCAGGTGATGAACATCAGTAAATTTCAGAGTTCAGTGTTGTCTAGAAACTGAAAGTTCTCAGGTACATTCTGTGAAAAACTGCTGGGTTGATTCATTGAACACTACATTGAACCGATTAGAAAACAATGTTGCAAACTTTAAGCCATATTAGCCAAGATGAAAAATTCTCAAACTTATCTGTAGACACATCTATTCTATTTATGTCTAAAATTTTGGGGTGGTCAAATGACCAATCACCAGCTACCGGTCAGTCTCTTAGAAAATATTGATAGATTGCACATTACTGCTATGCATTCCCTGCATATATCAAGTTAGATTTTGAAAAGTCCCCATGGGGCACAGAAACTCAAGAATTCATGTTTCCACAACTATCCCAGGGTCCCCAGCTTATCATGGAAATGAGCACAGACAGGTATCGTGTTTCAGACTTCAAACTTAATTTTTATAATTTTCTAATTGCACTGTAGAGATTTTTGTGTTTGGGCTCACCACAATCTTTTTGGTATCTAGCTCTCAGAGAAGCTTGACTTGTAGACCAGAATCAGCACCATGCTGATGAGACCCAGAAGGTCGAAACTGTAGTCCATGGCTGGTTTCTGGTCCTATTGGATTACAGCCCATGCTTATTAATTTAAAGCTGTATTTAAAACAAACAATGCCCATTGCGAAGGATACTCAATTGCATGTCAAGTTGGGAATTCTGGGATAGTTGTGGAAACATGATTTATTGAGTTTCTGTAAACAGGGAAGACCCTTCAAAGTCCAACTTGAGATATGCAGGTCATGTATAACAGTCATTTTTGTATTAGTTCTATGGGGAGTATTATCATGTTTGGTTTCACCACAGTCTTTTTTTTGGTGCATACATACATCGCTTGTCCACACTTTACTATTCCGAACAACATTCTAATGTCCTTGCTGTATATCTAATTAGGTAGATCAGTGAATCAATGTTCCTCTCACTCTTGGCATACAGCTATATGGCTTCTCTCGCTAGCTAGTATGCTAGCTGTTTTTAATGAGGCCCTATCTACAATCCCAAATAACACCATCACAAAGACCACAAGCTCATTTATGCCACAGCACCTGTGGTCCATCAACAGCATGACTGACTAAGGTCAGACTGAAAGAGAAAGAATAATGCACACCATGTAAACTACGTTTGGAAGCCAAGATAACGTGAACACATGAAGAAGTTAGTAAGCTAGTTTAACTTTACAGAGGTGGAAAGATGAAGGATAGATCCTGTTATGAGGAAATACAAGGATATGCTCATACCACAGGCTCTGGAAACAGTCAAGCAAAAGCTCGCAGCAATAGTAATCGTAAAGAGCAGACGCACCAGAGAAGCAGAGGCTAAGAGAATAAATGTCCTCTTTATCAAAGAACCATACATGGTGTATCTACAGCTGCACTGTAACAACATTTCCACCCTAGATCCAAACAAACCTGAGACTGAACAGTGCTGGTAAAAGGTATGTGCAAAAGAAGTATTACATAACAGGAAATCCCAGTGGCTACTAAACATGAAAGCAAAAAATTATACTGCACTAAAAATTTTAGATAGAGTTCATTACTTCATTTAATAATTCATTGTTATGTTATGTGAGTATAATTCATTAATTTTAGCAAATTTGACAATATATACAATTAAATCAGACAATATGTTATGGTAGAAACAGTGTATTCTGTGACAACTAATGTTACTCCATGTAACTAAAGTCCCCTAACCACAGGTTTGTAAATAATCAATAATGTTGAACTGCATTAATATATCTTAGAGTCCAAAGTACCATCCAAAAAAGCAAAAAGATGTATCAAAAATTAGAAAAATTAGAAAAAATAAAAAAAAGATGAAAAAGATGAGAAAATGAGAAAATGAAAAAAATGAAAAAAATTGCAAAAAGAGAAAATAAGGTATATACAGTCCCAGTGTGTACACACTACAATATATGGGTGGATCTCACCACATTCTCCAAAGATATGGGTCCTATTTCGGGCGGTATGTATATCTTGATGTATTAGCCGTGGTGCAATGGTAGGATCTAGGATCTGACTGTAGGCATGTATTTGAGTATGTGGGTATGACTGTAGGCATGTATTTGAGTATGTGGGTATGATTGTTTGGGCCTGAAGCTTCAGCACTAGTGATGTCCCGAACGGTTCGCCAAACGGTTCGCTGAGGATGGCGAACATAAACATAAACTTTGACCCTGTACCTCACAGTCAGCAGACACATTCCAGCCAATCAGCAGCAGACCCTCCCTCCCAGACCCTCCACCTCCTGGACAGCTCACTAAGAATGCAGCTTCACAATGAATGTAAAATGGATGCTGTCCAGGAGGTGGGAGGGTCTGGGAGGGAGGGTCTGCTGCTGATTGGCTGGAATGTGTCTGCTGACTGTGAGGTACAGGGTCAAAGTTTATGTTTATGTTCGCCATCTGTGGCGAACCATTCGGCGAACCGTTTGGGACATCACTATTCAGCATGTTAGCCCCTGGGTTAATCCAGCCCTGCAAGGCTTAGTGAAGGTTTAGTCTGACCCTGACACCCTTTTTCTATGCCTTTCCGTGTATTCAAAATTATTAACAAAACTCAGTTTGACACCTGAGTATTTCTAAAATGTTGTCATGTATTTAAAAATTGGCTTTTTTCTTTCTTTCTTGTAGTAAATATTGTTTAATTGTTTTGCTTCACACAGATAATGGATTTATTGATATGAACACATCACAAGAAAAATATGACGTTAACATAAACAATGAACAATTTTGTTTGGTTGCATCATTTGAAGCATGGCCTGCAGTGCGTTGCGCATGGAGTCATGGCTTGCATGTCTTTCCATGTAACCTCACGACTTTAAATGGTGTAAGGTAAAACATAGTAATATCTTTAATCAGTCTTGATGTCATCTAAAGGATGTTTACATTACAAACAAGCTGCATTAACAAAAATGATCAACCTATATTTACATTTGGACACATAGGGCTAAGGCAAAGTGGGGGTTGGGTTAATGGAATTAAAAGTTATAAAATTATTTTCCTATTACTTTACAGTTGTTTGCATTTCCTCTAAAAAAAAGCATAGATGGTATTGTATTCTCTACATCCATCACATTTGGTATTTTGCTGCTACTGAGTAAGAGTTGCTGAAGGTCTGGAGCCTCTATAGACTCTTTGACGGTTTCTGTTGATAGTCTATTGTGAGAAATATCTTGCTTTATGCTCTTCACCTGCTGTGTTCTAGAATGCTGTGTTGCACTGGAGCTGAATATGATGCCATTAAAACAGGGGTAGGCAACCTTTGTTGTGAACCAGATGTTGTGAACAACATTTCACATAATGATTTTACAGCCATAATGCTGGCAAAGCATCAAGGAAGATGTAGCTCACAACATCTGGTGTGTTGAAGGCTGCCTACCCCTTGATTAAGAGAAGAACGTTCTTGCTCATTCAGTAGACCACCGAGTACCATGGTACCTGGATGCAGACTTAACCAGACATTGTTTAGTTAAATAGAAAAAGAAAGATAATAAAGGAAAACAATAGGCACAGAAATCTTAGATTGAAACTCCACCACCTGAAAGACTAGCCATCGATTGTAAAGCACTGTTTAAAGCTTTAGAAGATCACTTATGATTCAAGATTTCAGGAGCTCAAGTCAGAGATGGCATGCACCCTTGTGAGACTTTAGACTCCTAAAAAGTGAAGAGCAGACATTTTTAATTTATATGGTTGGTGTTTAGCAATATACTGATTGAATATGTCTACAATTATCCTTGGTATTATTTTGTAGCTTTTGAGCAATACTTTCCCACCCACTCACTTAACCTACGTAAAAGATTCTGAGATTCTTAAAGTTGGTGGCTCACCCATAGGTTCCAGATAGTGTGCTTGAAATTATATTTAGGCTCTTATATTAGCTCTGCATAGTCTCTCCTAAGAGGTGTATAGCCCACATGGAGACAGATATAGGTGAGTAGGAATGTGCAAGGGCAAAAATTTGGTTCGGTTTGGAAATTCGGGTAAGTAAAAAAATTTGGCACTTCGGTTCGGTACTTCTGAAATTTGGAACTTCATCACTTCGGGACTTCGGCAATTCGGGACTTCGGCAATTTGGACATTCCTAAGCATCCCTCTCTTGTTTTGCCACTTTTCATAAATCAGATGCACTTTGCCACAACAACCACTTACACATATGTAAGGCTCCCTAACACTATCCCCTAACCCTATCCCTAACCCAACCTCTAACCCTAATTCTAACCCTAACCTCTAACCCTAACCACCACAACCACTTAATCTCCAAGGTTAATTATTATTATTATTAATATTATTAATGCAGAATGTCTTTCTGAATGACAGATGTTGAACTGCATGCTTCACAATTTAACATATAGTCCAAACTAGTGGAAAAGGCAGAAATGTTTCCTCTGCTGTGAAATTCTATAACCAATAGATTAAATGAATCACACGATTTAAAGTATATTTATGAAAAGTCCTTACAATTTATCACCTTTGTGCTAATTAGCTTTAAATCAAACATTGATAAATGAGTCTACACCATATTTTTGTTATGATGACCAAAATCGCCAAGGTTAGCTCAAGAATGAATAATGCCCAGAACATTAATTAGAAAATAGAATTCTCTTCTACATTATTATTATTATTGCCATTTATATAGCGCCAACAGATGAAGCTTTGGTTTAATGACCATCAGTATATGTCTATATAATCTAGAACCAGACTGTGTACCGTGCCCTCTCATGGTATCTGATAGTTGTATAGTGCGTTACTGTGTCTTTTAGCTTTGGTGTATGACCTGGCTTTGTATTATGACCTGTGTTGGCTTCTCTGATCCAGCCGTCTACTACTGAGTTTAAGCTATTTTTGTTTTCCTTATTTTTACCTGTTTTTATCTATTTTCACCATTTTAGAGCATTTCTACTTTAGGACCTCTATTGAGTTTTTTCGATTTTTTCAGCCAATTCAAGATCCCATTGCACAGCGATACGAAATCTGATGGCGCTATATAAACAATAAAATAATAATAATAATCTGAATGTTTCCCGTTTTCTTTAGTTGCTTAGTCTATTATCCAACAGCTGTTTTGGCAGTAAGGTGTCCAACCAGAGTTTAGAACTCTTCATTGTGTTAACTTGATTTATGTATTGTTTTCTCCAAAGTTCATGTTTAATCTTGTGATAATGAGGCTATTGTAGTTCATTCTACGTGAAAAATGCTTATACATCTGCGAATGAAATGTAAACTAACACGTCGTTCTCATTCTAACAGCATGTCTAAATATTGTGATCACAAACACATACCAGGAAACTATACATTCTATGTAGAAAATGACGACGTGCGCCTAAACAAAACTTTTACGTTGAATATTCTGCGTGAGTTTATCCTTTGTTGTCAAATGCTCTTTATGTTCATTATTGAATTTCCTTTGAAGATTACGGAGTCTATACATAAAATAGAACTTTTTATTACAGTCTTGTAAAACTGTTTATGTTTAAAAGACAATGCATGCATTATGCATGAGACGTCATTTCATTTATTGCGTGGTAGTACAGGATGCAATATTTCAATGAATTCAATTTATGCATTCACTTGTGCGTAGCAGCTGAAATAGTTTTTAAATGGAAATTGTATTTATAGATTTATTTATTTTAGCTTCAACCTTGTTTTTAAATAGAGGTTTTTGTTTTACATTAACCATCCGCTTGCAGAGTAGTGGAAGCATGGACTAGACTCCCAATGAAAGAGTGCTAGCTACCATAGTAAGGGAGCTGCAAGTATGGTGAGGAAAGTTAAGCTATGTTTCATGAAACAATTATGTAACTTAGCAATACAAAAATAATGCAGGATCTAGTTTTCGGATAATGCCGTAGTTTGAATTATACAGCTTAAAATCATAACAAAAAAGGTTATTGTAAAAATCAGAAATTTATTCAAAGCCTTACTTTGCAAAATGTCATGATGTCATGTTTTAGTGTGGCAAATATACTGACCACTTAGTAATACGTTTATTTTAGAAAACGTTATAGCCGTCTGCAAGATTTCTTTATTAATGGGAACACTAATGGTTTGTATTTTACCTGGAAGGAACAATGAAATCTGTGCTTCCAGTAACATAGGTCTTTCTTACCTTGACACCATATTCCTTCAAGAAGCTCAACACTAGAAGTAATGTGACGTAGCAGAATATAAGGGAATAACGGGGCAGACAGAAAAAGGCAGACTGGTCAAACAGAGATGCAAATTTCACCTCTGAGGTCCACATGGACGAAAAGTTCAAAAGTTCATAGAGTATTGGGACTGTGTAAAACTACTGAGACCCTAATTATATTGTTTCACCAATTTCGTATGTTGCATTTTAAACATAACACTTAGATTGTTAATTTGTACCATCATCCATCACTAAATTAGTCCCCATTCCACTATGCAATGTTATGCAAAATACTACAATTTGTTTTGTACTCTCTCCCCATTCACTAGTTCTTCCAGAAGCATAAAACGTTGCCGTCTTTATTTATACAGTAGCTACTGTAAAAATATTCTAGCCCTGATAGTTTAAGTACATACTACCCAAGTATCCCTATTTACGAGGGACAGTCCCTATTTTGGGTCCAAATCTATCCATAACTCTTCTCTATCCCAATGCCCATATTTTATAGTAGCGGAGTATTCTTGAATGTTTACGGAGTTCCATGTCAATAACACAGTAATGTGTCTTTAAACTACAATAATTTCTTTAGGAAAACAGCCAGTATAAACAAGATCCTTTGTTCTTGTTCTAAATTACATTTTATTTGAAAAATTGCCATTAGTAAGTCACTTAAAAGTTCTCAGAACAACTCTGCCCCAGGCCACACCCCAACTTACACCCCTAAAATTAAAGTGGCCCTCTTTGACCCTCTTTGTCTATTTGTAGTGTAGGGAGGTATGTGAGCTTTTAATATTTTTGTTTTCTTATATCATGATTTTAATTTGGTAGAAATTTGATGAAAATCATTGTCGCCTTATTATTATTATTATTATTATTATTATTATTTTTACATCTGTTAGCTAGCTTGAAGCAATATTTTAATTTGGTTTAAAACAATCATCAATGTAAAATACTCTGTTTATTTTGATATCAGAAAGCATATTGATTGAAGTGTATTCCATTATCGACTTATTTCAGAAAAGCCTGAGGTTTATACAACGGTTATGGGAGATTATATCACTTGTGTTGCCTACGGTTACCCTGTTCCAATTTGGATCTGGAAAAGAGCTACTAATAGCGATTTCAAGTAAGTTTGTACCTACTTGTAGTTAAATCATGACGAGTAAAAGAGTCTGGGACCACTGTGAGAACTGGGACTCATGCTGATTTCAATTTTTTTCTTCCTAATATACTACTCAGTGGATGTTAGTACTGTATTCCTCTCTTGCAACTGTCATTAGTCTAATACTATCCTTACCTTTTTGTGTCACTATACCCACTCCTTCTAGCATGTAAGCTCATTGAGCAGGGCCCTCCACCCTCTGTTCCTGTGTGTCCAACTTGTCTGGTTACAACTACATGTCTGTTCGTCCACCCATTGTAAAGCGCTGCGGAATTTGTTGGCGCTATATAAATAATAACATAATAATAATACTTAATGCTTGTTATAAAGTATTATTTTTTATTATAATTATTTTGTGGTTTGTATTCTGGTTTTGTGATTGTTGTTTTTTTAAATAATCAGAGCAATATGCATTTCTGTTTCAGTTTAAAAAAAAAGACACTCCTGCAAAATTACAGTACACATTAAATAGTTCTGCTGATAAAACTGAAAAAATAAAGACTAAACTGTAATCTTTGTCTGAGGATACATATTATTGAAAGAAAAATATATATTTTTAAAATGAAAATCTAAAAGCTTACATGAGCCATTATGCTATTTTATATAGTCTATACTTTTATATAGAGTAAAAGTGACTTACGTTGTACTTGTAAATTTATCTCAAATTAATAATGTTGTTTTCTGAAGCTGCACAGAACATATCTTATATGGAATAACATATGGGCCAATAATAAGAACATCTCACACATGGGAAGTCCGAAGCAGCCTGGACACTAAGAATCATACCGAGTCATTACATATCTGCTGCTGTGCCAACAACTCTGCTGGGATATCTTGTGAAACTACATATTTCAAAAGTCTTGGTAAGAACCACTATTATATTGGACAATTTATCTAACAGAACATCAGTGTAAGAAAGTATCTCATTTCTGAACTTTGGTCCCCTAACTATTCTTCCTATAAACTCTTTAATTTAAAAAAATAAATGGATACCATTTCATAAAGATTGCGTCTCTGCTATGTTACACTTTAAAAAAAAAAAAAAAGTTTTCTTTTATTTATACCTTAGGTGGTGATATGTATGAATTATTGGTGTTCTGTAGTTTGGTGGATATCTCCAGAAGGATATCGATACTTTAGAGAAAGTTCAGAGAAGGTCTACTAAACTGGTTCATGGATTGCAAGATAAAACTTACCAGGAAAGGCTTGGAGGAAAGACGAGACAGGGAGGATATGACAGAAACATTTAAATACATAAAGGGAATCAACACAGTAAAGGAGGAGACTATATTTAAAAGAAGAAAAACTACCACAACAAGAGGACATAGTCTTAAATTAGAGGGACAAAGGTTTAAAAATAATATCAGGAAGTATTACTTTACTGAGAGGGTAGTGGATGCATGGAATAGCCTTCCAGCTGAAGTGGTAGAGGTTAACACAGTAAAGGAGTTTAAGCATGCGTGGGATAGGCATAAGGCTATCCTAACTATAAGATAAGGCCAGGGACTAATTAAAGTATTTAGAAAATTGGGCAGACTCGATGGGCCGAATGGTTCTTATCTGCCGTCACATTGTATGTTTCTATGTTTCTAAGTTTTACATAGGGGGTTTTTCGTTGGGTGCCTTTAGTTAAAAAATGAGGTTTTGATAAAGGATGAACCTTAAGAGCTGGGATGTTTGATGAGGCAATGGAACTACTATAAATATAGTTGGTGAGTTACTTTTGTGTGGGCATTGGCATGATAGGATAACCCTCTGCTAAAATCTGGTCATTGCTTTCCTGAACAAGATTTCAGTAGATTAACAGTAGATTATTTCAGTAGGTTAACAGCTTCATTTATTTATTTAATAGTCCCACTGTGGGGGCACAGGGTGGTAGACAGTCATCTTTAAATGCAAGGCCCCACTCGATGCCGACAGGTATGGTCACTGGGAGTTTAGGCAACGGCCCAGTTGCTAGTCTTTTATGACTGCTGGCAGCCACTATGTGTATGGGGGAGTTATAATCCCTTAATTGTGCTAAAGTGGGGGTCATATTGACCACCATAGGCTTTGTTTTTTTAATTTAAAAAATTTTGCTCAGAAGAACCCAAAAATCTCACCATGCACAAATATTTGGAATTTCTTTAAGTTAACCTAGAGATGTAGCTTTGAACACCACAAAAAGCACAGCCCAGATTTATACGTACCTTCTAAATTTTCATCAATTAATTTTACTGAAGTACCTTCATAAGTAAATTTTACTGAAGTTATGACTAAATATATTTGTAACATACACATACCTGAAAACGTACATATTCTATCAGGCAGCTGTTTATTCTTGTTATGAAGACGAGGAAGTGGATTTGATAAATGGAGCTTTGTGAAGTACTCAGTTGCCTAAACAGATGTGGTCTTGTCTGTGACATGGGTAGAATTTGCGAATTTGAGTTGATATTTGGGTGGGAAGTGTGTGGAGCCACACGTGTCTTCATTTCCAGGAGAAATAGTGTTTTTTTTCAGACTGCTAGCTAATTCGGATGAAACCTAGAAAGTATCCAATATGTATAAATAGCTAGCCTGTCATGTTACATCTTTCTTTATCACATTATTTGTGGGTATATGCTTTTTAATCCCCTCCTTGATGGGTGGCATGTCCCTGTGTTCTCATTAATTTTTCCTAACTTTTTTTATTTAGAGGTTAACGATTACCAAATTATATAAAATGTTTTTGCTTTCTTTTAACTTTGTTGGATATATTTTTAGACATATAATTTTGTTTATCCTTTTTAAATATTTTGCAGAAGTGAAATCTTTCCAAATGGATGAAAATAAGTTTATTTTGCCTCTATCAGTTGGCATTTTTCTTGTTGTTTTCATCATCGTGGTTTTCAAGAAGTGCCAAAAGGTAACGTAAATCCGGCATTAAAATTATTAATCAATTACATTTGTCTATCTATTCCTTATTTGCTGATTTTATTCTCTTTTTGGAAACAGCAACACAAGTATGAAAGAAAGCTACAAATGATACAATTTGTTGGACCTTCCGATAATGAATACATTTACATTGATTTCAGTGTGTTGGAATATGATTTAAAATGGGAGTTTCCAAGAGAAAATCTGGAGTTTGGTGAGACCTTAGTGACTTGTTTGATCCAATATTAAAGTCATTAATTAGCCAGTTCACTTTGGTGAAGTCACAATATATTAAATAGCCACGTGTGGTGTTCCTCAAGGTTCCATTCTCGGCCCCCCTACTATTTACATTATTTATAAATGATCTGCCTAATGTCTGCAAATCCTCAAATGTACACATATATGCAGACACACACAGTAATCTATGCGAGCAAATCCGATCTACCGCAGCTTGAGGCTGTGCTCCAAGACCAGTTTACAGAGGTAGAAAAGTGGATCACAAAAAACAAACTCTTTTTAAACACTGGCAAAACTGTCACAATGATCTTTGGAACAGTACCTAAATTACACAAATTACACAATTCCCACCTATCCATCAAAACAAATTCAAATGGCACACTGACCGCAGCCCACTATTTCAAATACTTGGGTATGATGTTAGACCCCAATCTATCTTTTTGGCCTGCACATAGAAAAGCTTGCATCTAAACTTTATCCAAAATTAGGTGCCCTGTACAGAAACAAATCCTGCCTAAGCCCTACCGTAAAGGAAAAGATTTTACAGCAAATGCTGATGCCAATCATTGATTATGGGGATGTAGCATATGCACCTTCACTGCAAACTCTCCTAAATAAGCTTTAACACATTGTATAACTCGCTCTGCCGATTTGGGCTACAATGTAATTACAGGACCCACCATTGTAACATGCTAAAAAAACTAAACTGGCTGTCGCTGCAATCCAGACTCACCCTTCATCTTTCCAGCCTTGTGTTTAAGAGCTTTTCTGGGAAGCTCCCGCCCTACCTGAGCAGAATGCTCCACCTGGCTGTTCCCACCTCCTATAAACTCAGATTCAGTACCAGCACTTTATTTAGTCTTCCTAAATACAAAAAGAAAGCGTCTCGTTCCTCCTTTTCCTAGAAAGCACTGTAATTATGGAACAACCTCCTGCACACTTTCAAATCTTCCCCAGGCCTAAAATTCTTTAAGAGATCCCTCTCCACATATCTCAAAACCTAATGCACCTGTCATGGTTGATTATATATTTCCTACCATGTTAAATTTTTTATTTATTGTGTATTAATATTGTTTTTGTATTTTATTGTACCATAATGTATCAATGCAATGATTTGTGAACCAGGACATACTTGAAAACAAGAGAAATCTCAATGTATCCTTTCTGGTAAAATATTTTATAAATAAAATAATTTGTAAATTAACCACATGTATTATTTTGTGAATCAACCTCTAAGCAATTAAAATATAACATAAACAAAAGTTCTTTTTTTACCATAAATATTAGGAGATGTTATTGGATCTGGAGCCTTTGGAAAAGTGGTCACTGCTACAGCGTATGGCATCACCAAACCAGGTGTCTCCCTTCAGGTGGCTGTAAAAATGCTGAAAGGTACAGTTATGTTATTTGAAGGGAAGCAGTAAGTAAGGTTGCTATTGGTGTTTTTGAAACATACACTAAAACATATATTTAGCCTCTTCATCTCTCTCTCTAGGCACGACACAATATCAGCCAAAGCTCTGCCCATTTTTATCACCATTTTTCACTATTGAACTAGAATTTGGTAAATGTAGAATGTTTGTTCACCTACTATTAATGTAGTAATTAAAACCACTGTGTGGCAGTTACTATGCTATAGAACTAACTGTGGTTCATTAATTCGGCTTACTCTCAATATTCCATTGTTTCGTTTTTTTATTTTCCACTTTTCTACACCACTGTTCAATCTTAGTTTCCCTATTCTACCTCTCTGTTCCATTCAATATCCCCTCTTTCCAATCGAATGTATCCCACTTTACTCTCCTGTCTCATTTCAGTTTCCCATCTTCTATCCATTCCTTGCATTTCCCCCGCCAACTTCTACCATACCATCCAAGTTTGATCTGGTTTAACTCATGGGTCCCAATACAGGTTTCTCTGTCCCATGGGTTTCCCAATTCTGCCCTTTTGTGTTTGGAATTTTAGAAAATTTTTAGCTGCGATAAATTCTTACAGTGATTTTCAGTTTGTAAATTAAATCCCTATTCTCTATTACAGAATGCCATGATGTGTCAGAAAAAGAGGCCCTTCTGTCAGAACTGAAGATGATGACTCAGATTGGACACCACAAAAATATTGTGAATTTACTGGGGGCATGCACTGTCTCAGGTAATCAATGAACTTTCTGATTTATTTTATATTTAATACACTGTGAGAACATTACCATTTAAAAAAAAAAAATGCAGATGGATAGTTATTTCAATGTATTTTCTAACTTCTGTGTCAATAACATAGATCAGGCATAGGCAACCTTCGGCACTCCAGATGTTTTGGACTACACCTTCCATGATGCTTTCACAGCATTATGGGTGTAAGAGCGTTATGGGGGATGTAGTCCACAACATCTGGAGTGCCAAAGGTTGCCTATCCCTGGAATAGATGGACAGTGTACGAAAACATATATTATAATTTCTGTCTACTAACTTCAATTAAGTTTACCTTTTTGCAGGTTTTCTTATATACGCTCTGGAGTAAAAAATGTTGGGTAAAAAAAGTATTTTCCAACTGCCTAACATTGGAGCTGATCATTATCTATTGTTGGATAAACATGTTAATGGCAGCCAGGAGTCTGTAACATACTTGAAACAGTCAAGCTTAAGAAGTCAGAATCATTCCGAAGAAATTATACATACATCTTGCAACCAATGGAACCATTAAACAACACTTTTCATATTATTAAGCAACATCCAGACCACCAAAAACAAAGTTTTTGTGTAAGAGCATAACAAACATCACTCCTAGGTTCAAGATGTTTGCACATCACCAGACTTTTACTGATGAACATTTCATTAATCAATTAACACAATTTAAAAAAACAAATTAAGGATAAAAACAATATAACACAACAAATGCACATCTATAATATAGCCTGAATGTCCAAATCCAGATTACCCATTAGGCTACATAAGCAGTCTCCTATGGCCCGATGGTCCACTATGTTGGCCTGGAGGTCTGACTCTGGCTGTAAGGGGCTCCTTCTTGGACCTGACAGGAGATTAAAAAAATCTCCATGCTTGGTCCTGTGCCATCTCACTTGCTCGAAGGAGTGTTGTGGTCTGGAACTCTATAGGTGTAGACCACTTTAAGAACTCCCTCCTGGCCTTCGGCATTTCTCAATAATTCAGCGCGCTTCAATCAGCACTCTGAATCTATGAGTGCTGGACCTCACGGGAGCTCCTTAAATGGTCTGCACCAGATAGAACTGCAGATCACAACACCCCCTCATTGGACTATCAGAGATTCGCAGTGTGCTTCTAGTGGACCACCTGAAAAAGTTGCCTTTTAGAGGTGGGATTCAAAATTTTGTGATTAACAACAATTGCACACTTTAATTTGCTTTTGCATTCCTTAGAGAAAAGTGTGCTGTTCCTTAGTACATTTATTAGAACATAAAGTATACTGTTGCTTTTTCTCTATGATATAGGACCTATTTACTTAATCTTCGAATACTGCTGCCATGGTGATCTTCTCAACTATCTGAAGACCAACAGAGAAACATTTCACAAAACGTGGTCAGATGTTTTCAAGGACAATAACTTCACATTTTATCATAATTTCAATCAGGATGATACATTGAGGTATATGCTTTACATTTATGTGATTTATTTATTTCCAAAACATTGTATTGCTTTAAATAGAACAGAAAAATATATTGGGTGTTGGGGTACATTACCAAACACCTTAGAATGTATTTGCATTTAGAAAAAGATCTTGTGATTTATTTCATTTTTTGATGTAAGCAAGTGACATGGACATGACTATGTCCACATTCATCTTTCGCATGCACATAAATGCTTTAATATCAAATTGGTAAGCACATAAAGGCTTACAAATTGGTAAGCACACGAATGCTTTAATATCAAATTGGTAAATCATATAAAATTAAAGGGACTCTGTGGGCACCCAGACCACTTCATCTCAATGAAACTGTGTTGGTGCCATGCTACTGTCTCTTTCACCCTGCAACGCAAAACATTGACATTTTGCAGGAATAATAATAGGGCTAGCACACCTCTAGTGGCAATCAGGAATACAGCCATTAGAGGTGCTTCCACAGCTATAATGAAGTTAAACTCAGTTTTAGCTCAAATGACTCTCCTAGAGAGCATTTGATCGGTGTAACATGCGTTTTGCTGCGCATGCACAGTAGCCTTCCAATGCTTACGTACAGGGAAGCATTTCATTGACCAGCCACGGAGGTGGAGCTTCAGCATGGAGAGCAGCAAACAGCGGGATGTAACCCCTGCCCCTACTCCTACAGGGAGTATGGACACCAAAATAGGTAGGGGATCACTATAGATTTAGAAATACAAACGCTATAGTGTTCCTTTACTAAATGCAGTTTGCTGTTTTTAAAAAATCCTGAGATGCTTTCATAAAAAGTAATTTTTAATTGAGGATCATTATAGGTTCTGACAAAAGTATTTTAGAATTAGTCATGCTTTAGTTAAGTACATAGCTGTACAAATTGTAAGCCAGACCTTGTTTGCATAACGTGGAAACATTGGATGAACACTTTGTACTGTGAAAAGTAATTAAGTGTCTGTACATTTTGTCTACATGATTGTAAAAGCAGAATTGTGTTAAAAAAGTTTCTAGAATGATAAAGTCTCTTATTCTCCTTTGACATTGTTAGTAATAGCTGATAAAGTAATATAGTATATCATATTAATATTCTCTGTGGATATCTAGTGGAAGAAAAGGAGATTTCATAAGAAACGGCTCCTATGTGTCAAAAAGCAGTGCACTAGATTCTGTAAAATATCAACAAACTTGGGAAGTCGAGCTGTCTACTGGAAACAATCACATGACACAAAATGATGATGGTAAGACAATTTGGCATGGAAGGATTTTTGTTGCATTTGTTTTAAATGCATTTTTATTATTTTTCTGGTTAATTTTTTTTTTTACAAATTGTCAGATCAATAGTAATAGATTATTGTCTTGGGATTATATTATTTTTCCCTAATACACGTTTTAGCACACCCTGCATGTTATTAGTAAAAAAATAAAATAAAAATAGGGTTAATGCTAATTTTAAGGTTCAGAAGACTGAGTTCCTTCTTTATTCTTATAGAAACACTAATCCAGGACATAACTGTTCTGGCTTTCCAGAGATGGGTGGGAGATATACTCCTGGACAGCAGCTGCTGTTTGTGACTAATGTCCTTAATGTATCCCGTCTCTTGTTGCTGGCAAGAAAGAATCACTCCATCTCTGTCTCCCCAGCTTTTATGCCAGCATAACAGCAATAGAAAAAGGTCCTAATTAATGATGACAGCAGCAACTGAGATTGTGGGCCCTTTGTTGCACATTAGCAGCCATAACTGTGGTTCTAGATTTCAGCTAACAGTTTGTTCTTGGCATCTCGATCACAACACTATTAAAAACTATCACGTAGTAACAAATGGGAAGATTGACAGAAAGGTCAACCACAACAACATATACACAACTAGCCAATAAAAGTGGAAGGAATCTTTAGCTGAAAGATTTAAATGCACATGTCCACATTCTCCCCACTACTTATTAAACTCTCAACCTTAGCACCTCTGGCATGCAAGGTCCAAGAGGTTTCACCATTGGAAGTTCTTCCAGGGAGAAACAGGACCATAAGCAGCAGCTTAGTTTTCCTACATGGTATCAGCATTACTATGGAAACCTGTGTTTTCTGTAATGCCATAATATAATAAAAAATTTACTTTTTCAACATATAGAATTTAAATATGGAAACTCAGAATGGTGTGAAGATGATGAATTGAATGTTCTTACGTTCGAGGATCTCCTCCATTTTTCATATCAAGTTGCAAAAGGAATGGAATTTCTTGAATCAAAAATGGTATGTATTAGAATAACTGCACAAAAAAAACCCTACTTTTGAACTTTAATGAACTAGTGATTAGTTTTGGGAACTGCCCATCCTGTAAAATGAGTCATCATGATGCTTTTTATAGTTGGCTAAAAATAGTTGTCTCAATCTGTTGCACGTTATTAAGTATTTGTAATGAAAACATCAAGTCAATTAGTGAAAAAACAAAACATAAGTCCGTGAACCTTTGTACAACGATGAAATGGCTTTGTTTACTGTTTACCCTAATATCAGTTCTGTACTCTATTTACATATTTTAATTCCCGTTCCTCTTGGATGTCCTGCTTTAATCATCCTCGGAATGCATACAATAAAAATAGCATTTCTGTATTTTTTTATGTATGGAATAGGTCAGTGCAGTTAAACAGTTATTATTTTATGTTTATTCTCATAAATGTAACCATGTTTTTGTGTCCTAGTTTAAAAGGTAATTGGGTCTTACTCTTTACTTTTTAAATAATACATTATTTTTCTCCTTCATAGATTAGTTTTAGTTTAATCTAATTATGCAGGCCTACCATGGTCCTAGAGATAATCATAAAGTGACCTGAATATAAATTCCTGCTCCTTCTCAAGTACCATTTATCGGGGTTTGACGGGTAGTGAAGATGTAGCATATTTTATGTTTTACTCAAAGCACCATGACCACTTCAGTGATTTCAGTATAAAACACAGCACATACTGACTTAACCGCTTTGCTGTCAGAGGTGTAACTACACCTCCAGCAGGGTCATTGGGCTGTCATTAGCCAGCCTGAGCAAGACACACAGGCTGGGTAATGCCGTTTGTGTGGTTCAGTGGTCAGCTTATGCTCCAATAAATGGTGATTGGATCTTGTTCTGGCTTTGGCAACTCTGCTGAGGCTGGAAGTCAGTGTCAGCAGAGCCGCACGGAGGTCATAAACCTGGTGGGGCAATCCGTTGCTAAATGGTTTGCCCCATTACTTTGAAACAGTCCAGGATACTACAGCAGGCTATAGTGGTTAATATGGTTGGAGCAACCCTTTAATATTAAGTACATCGAGATCAAGGAAGAGAGGATTTTCGCCATGGGTAAAGATACATTTCCATGTTAGACTAAGGTTAGATTTGGTTATTGGGGATACTGAATCTTCTGGCAAATTGGTGCCAAGATGTAATTGTACAACTTGTGTTCTGTATTCTTACAACAGTGGCTGCCTTTACAATGCTTTGCAGAACAAAATACGCGACAATTTGTACCTATTAATAGTTCACTGTTCACTCAGTAGAACATTATCACACAGTAGAATCACTGACTCTCAAAGATGGTGGTATGTTTTCGTTGCTGGGCAAATGTAGCAAGAGCCACGATTGGCTATTTTTGTCTGAATTTTGAAATTCACTTTGAATTTATGATCGTTCTCACATTAGTGAATAACCCTGGTAGGGTTATTCACTGAAGTGAAAATCCAAAATCCAAAGTGAATTACAAATGTAAGGCCTCAGTAGCCAAACTGGAAGCATTGCTGACTTAGAGAATTTTTCTGGATCACCTATTTTTAACTTTAAATATGAAATTCACTTTGTATTCTCACTATAGTTAATAAAACGTCCTGTGAATTGGTATGAAACAAGTCTTTGGCACCAAATATTTTAAATTCCCATTCTCTACTTGGTATTCTTTCTTATATATTTTTCCCAACCACCTCAATGCTATGATTACTTAAAGCCATAAAAATAGTTGTAACCTGCTTTGTTTTATAGTGTATTCACAGAGACCTGGCTGCCAGGAATATTCTCATAACTAATGGAAAATTGGCAAAAATATGTGACTTTGGACTCGCTCGAGATGTGATGAATGACCCAAACTATGTGGTCAAGGGAAATGTAAGTGACTTTTTATATAATTGAGCTCTTTGTTTTTTGCATTAGAATATGTACTTTACAGTATTTTTTGAGAATCTGAATCAGAATTATTTAATTAGTGCAACTCTCCCATTTAGCCACTTTAATTGCTTTTGATGTGTATTCACTAAACTTTGAACTTAGATAAATCTTAAATTAATTCAAAAACACTCTTAATCACGAAAGTGTGAATTGTCAGGAATTCACTTTAAATAATTTACTTTTTATTGACTAATCCTGTTTTGGCTTTTTCTGGCTCAACCTGGTAGTAATACTAATCCTTTTTTTCATAAATTTTTACAGTGCAAATTATTTCTACACTTTTGTAAAAAAATAAATAAAAAAATGATGTCTAGTTTGAAGAACCTATCAACACTTAGAATGAAGGTTCTAGAATCACAAATACAGGCTATAAAACCAAGAAATGTGCACGAACCTTATTAAAAGAACACTGCAAATACCATAACCACTGTAGTTATTGTGTCAAGACTCCCCATTGTAAGTAGTCAAACTATTTAAGCCCTTAAGGACACATGACGGAAATATTCCGTCATGATTCCCTTTTATTCCAGAAGTTGTGTCCTTAATAATAGATTGACTTCTTACCTGAAGTCTGTCAGACGCCACTACACACCTTTTCCCGCCTCCACAACACTGTAGAGCCGGAAGCTCCTGCTTAGGAGCTTTCATTATGTCTTCTGAGGTACACCCTGCAGTGCATGAATAACTCATCGGCTAAGAGCATCAGTTGATCACTCGCAGCCAGTCAGCTAAATCTTTGCTTCGGTCCACCATTTTATCTTCCCAAGTATCTTTCTCCAGTTACCTTTCCTACTTCACCTTTCTGTCCTCCCTCTTTATTTTGTCTTCTCCCTGACTCCCTTGTCATTCAGTCCAGCCAGAGTAAGTTTTGCTTCCAGGAGTTCTAAGCATGGCTTACACTGTGTATGTCACAACACACAGTACTAGAGAGCAGCCAGCGGTGGGCAGTGCTTAGAGCTCCTGGAAGTTTCTTTGTAGCTGGACTGCATGGGAAGGACCTCTAACTGTTCTCCCGCCAGCACTCTGACAGGACAGGAGGTAAGGAGGGGGATTTTTACAGGCAGAGTAGGTGCCTCCATCAAGTATGTGCTTGTAGACAGGTGGCCTCTTTACTTAATGGGAAATATGTCCCTGGTATATATCTTTATCACCAGAATTCCAAAACCACAAGAGTACTATTGGAACCAGACTTCACATTAAGTGATACCTCTGAGGGTAGACGTGCCCACTATTCATTTACATCTCCTCCCCCTTGTGTTAATTTATTACTGTATTACACTACTTTGTGTCTTTTTCTTTCTTTAGATTATTTATAATATATTTTGACTTATATAGTGTATATTATTTGGTTCACAAGCTTACTTTTTTTATATGTTTTATATATACCCCTCACATTTTTGTAAATATTTTATTATATCTTTTGATGTGACAACACTGAAGAAATGACACTATGCTACATTGTAAAGAAGTAAGTGTACAGCCTGTATAACAGTGTAAATTTACTGTCCCCTCAAAATATCTCAACACACAGGCATTAATGTCTAAACCGTTGGCAACAAAAGTGAGTAAACAACTAAGTGGAAATGTCCAAATTGGGTCCAATTAGCCATTTTCCCTCCCAGGTGTCATGTGACTCAGTGTTACAAGGTATCAGGTGTGAATGGAGAGCAGATATGTTAAATTTGGTGTTATCGCTCTCACACTCTCTCATACTGGTCGCTGGAAGTTCAACATGGCAGCTCATGGCAAAGAACTCTCTGAGGATCTGAAAAAAAGAATTGTTGCTCTACATAAAGATGGCCTAGGCTATAAATAGATTGCCAAGACCCTGAAACTGACCTGCAGCATTTGTGGGCAAGACCATACAGCGGTTTCACAGGACAGGTTCCACTCAGATCAGGCCTCGCCATGGTCGAACAAAGAAGTTAAGTGCACATGCTCAGAGTCATATCCAGAGGTTGTCTTTGGGAAATAGATGTATGAGTGCTGCCAGCATTGTTGCAGAGGTTGAAGGGGTGGGGGGTCAGCCCGTCAGTGCTCAGACCATACGCCGCACACTGCATCAAATTGGTCTGCATGGCTGTTATCCCAGAAGGAATCCTCTTCTAAAGATAATGCACAAGAAAGTCCGCAAACAGTTTGCTGAAGACAAGCAGACTAAGGACATGGATTACTGGAACCCTGTCCTGTGGTCCGAGGAGACCAAGATAAACTTATTTGGTTCAGATGGTGTCAAGCGTGTGTGGTGGCAACCAGGTGAGGAGTACAAATACAAGTGTGTCTTGCCTACAGTCAAGCATGGTGGTGGGAGTGTCATGGTCTGGGTCTGCATGAGTGCTGCTGGCACTGGGAAGCTACAGTTCATTGAGGGAACCATGAATGTCAACATGTACTGTGACATACTGAATCAGAGCATGATCCCCTCCCTCCGGAGACTGGGCCGCAGGGCTGTATTCCAACATGACATGACCCCAAACACACCTCCGAGATGACCACTGCCTTGCTAAAGAAGCTGAAGGTAAAGGTGATGGACTGGCCAAGCATGTATCCAGACCTAAACGCTATTGAGCATCTGTGGGGCATTCTCAAATGGAAGGTGGGGGAGCGCAAGCTCTCTGACATCCACCAGCTCCGTGATATCGTCATGGAGGAGTGGAAGAGGACTCCGGTGGCAACATGTGAAGCTCTGGTGAACTCCATGCCCATGAGGGTTAAGGCAGTGCGGGAAAATAATGGTGGCCACACAAAATATTGACACTTTGGACATTTCCACTTAGGGGTGTACTCACTTTTGTTGCCACCGGTTTAGACATTAATGGATGTGTGTTGAGTTATTTTGAGGGGGCAGAAAATTAACACTGCTATACAGGCTGTACACTTACTACTTTACATTGTGACAGAGTGTCATTTCTTTAGTGTTGTCACATGAAAAGATATAATAAAATATTTACAAAAATGTGAGGGGTATATATAAAACATATAAAAAAGTAAGCTTTGTGAACCAAATAATCTACACTGTGTACTCACTTTGGTGAGATACTGTATACATATAGCAGTGTATATGTATGTGTATATATATATATATAAAGGTAAGAAGCTCTGGTTGCTGGAACATAAATAAGGAAAGATACCGACACTCCAAGGATTTTTCATTTAGAAATTCTTCTTTTATTGAGAAAAAATCATCGACATTTCAGCTCCCCTAAGGAGCTTTCATCAGGACACATGAATGAAAGCTCCTTAGGGGAGCTGAAACGTCGATGATTTTTTCTTAATAAAAGAAGAATTTCTGAATGAAAAATCCTTGAAGTGCCGGTATCTTTCCTTATTTATATATATATATATATATATATATATATACACACACTATATCTATTCAATAGCAAACCAGTAACCTATCTCATGCTGATGATGCTGAAACAGCTGTCCATGAGTGGTTCACTGGCTTTGCATCTTTTCCTAAGTTGTGTTTCAAAGCTGTTGTATACAGCAAACACAGACTCAAAGGAACCCATGTTTAAAATGGAATGAGGCAAAAATGTGATTCTTTGTTAAACTAATTTGCATATGTCCACCCAGAATCCTTTGTGGTAGTAACATCACTGCAGATTTGTGATTTCTGTGGGAAAAGCAAGTCTTATGACTTGACTGGTGTGCAGATTCTTGTTTAACATTGTATTAACTATATATATATATATATATATATATATATATATTTGTATTCAGGGCATTCTCATATGATATAGAATAAGATGGGTTGTAGAGATGTAGCTTTAGGAATAATCAGTTGACATGTGCCGAAACCGACGTATGCTGTAGGCCGGTAAAAAGTGGGCTTACATAGAGGAAATATGAACAATGGGAGTGGAGGGTGGGTCTATTCGTCTGACCAACAAAGGTATGTAGGGAAAGGGGGGAATCCCTATTATAGGTCTATAGCCCCTCCCACAACTTCAGGCCATGCCTTCCAATTTGTGTTCGGGGCATTCTCATATGATATAGAATAAGACAGGTTGTAGAGATGTAGCGTTAGGAATAATCGGTTGAGGTATGCTGTAGGCCGGTAAAAAGTGGGCAAAAAGAGACATATTAATGCAAAACATTATACAGGATCATAGTGCATTTGTTAACCATCAGGTAGACATTTTAATGAAAGCTTCCAATTCCTGAATCGGCTGTGGTATGTAAGTCGCATAAGCCTATGATGCCCAGCGGCCCTGTGTCTTAACGTGTGCGGGGATGTCTTGGCTACAGGCCGAGGAGGCTGCTCCTATCCTAAAGGAGTGCCCTGAGTAGTCGCTAGGGTTTAGTTCGAGCCTGGTGAATGAGTAGGTGGACCTGTGGTAAGGACAGTATCGTACAGTGACAGTAATGGTTCAGTGTTGCGTATGGTGGCATGCCCAAGAACGTAACCAGTACCTTAACCGGGCACCCAGCATTGCTTGTAAGGTAGTAGGTTATATGCACTGGCTCGCTCATCTGACTCCTCTTAGTTTTAGGAAGGGACCAGACATAGTGGTCTGTATGTTTTAGAAGATAAGAGGTAAACAGGCACTCTTGTTTATGATGTTGGCCGCTGATAGTGAGTTATTTTTTGGCCTGAGAAAGCTGTTAAAGGCTAGCTAGGTAGCAGTTTTGATAACTGCATTGGTGCGTAGCTCGGAAGGTACATGGTTGAGTGGTTCTGACATGGCTTGAACATTGTATGTCTATGGCCAGTATTTAGTTTTAGCGGGAACATCCGCTTGGCTATGTCTCTAAGCAAGGTATGGATGGGGTAGGAGGATAGGAACCCTTGTTGTTTGGGAAGGAGAAATACGTATAGTGTTGAATGGCCGTGAGATAAGTTTAACTGTGTTGTGCGAGAATTTTTAACTTAAGGTGGCAAAAAGAGGCGAAGGCCATAAGTGGTGAAACCTCAAACCAGCTATCTAAGTGATGGTCCGACATGAAACGTATTGTATAAGTGGAAAACCCTGTAGCAAGCGTGTTGAGTGCAGGTGGACAAGGCCAGTTTTGTCAGAGCCGGGCTATGTTGGCGAGATTCATGTAATCCATGACCTTGACCATAAATGACCCCCCTGCCATGGCGGCTGTCACGGCAGCTGCCACAATAGTTTACCATTACGTGTGGTTAAGAACGTCCACCATATGTGTAGGTCTGCCGTGGCTTGGTTGTCTAGGGACAGCCCATGATCATCATGCAGGAGTGTGGAAAAAGCAAAGTGGTCTTAGATGAAAGCGCGGCCTGCGGTATGATGCGCATAGCAAAATTTAAGGAACCTGGTAGGGATTGTAGTTCCATGCGGTTGCAAGTACCAAGCAGGAGGTGGGAATTGGTGTTGTTGCAACTGTTCCTATTTCTCACATGGTAACTTGTTGGCATGGATGCCGAGTCAAGTTGTATGCCCAGAAATGTAACAATAGTGTCTGGGTCTTCTGTGTCCTTAGGGAATACTGGGACACCCAAGTGTTCAGACATACTAATGGCTTCCTTGAAGCTTCTAGAATGGAAGGCGTTCCCTTTGACCAACAAGAAATCATCTTGTGAGTGTATGACTGTGGGGCATCTGGATATGTTTAACCACAACCAGCAAAGAGTTCAACGAATATATTGAAGATTGTGGGCTTCTCTTGAACCGAAAGTTAAACGGGAGAAGAAATATATAACTGCTTCCCATAAATGCCCTGTAAGTGCCAGTGTAGGGTGGATGGTGGTAGTCTGAAATGCGTTTGTGAAATCAGTTTTACTTAACCAGGCTTCCCCACCTGCTTGAGTGATAGCTGTAATGGTATGAACAATGGTGGCATACTGTAATGAAAACTCCTCGGAGGGTATGAGGGAGTTGAGACTTGTGGTAGCCGAGGTGTGAGGTGCAGATAAGTCTATGATCAGTTACAGTGTGAGGGAAGATTCCCTGTGACAATCCCAATGGGATTGCGCCACGCTGTAAATGGTGTAGATCGGAGAAGCCCAGGTAGAAATCTTCCTGCCATTTCTTGGGTCATGAGTGTAATGCCAGCTGTTGGATGCTGCTGTGATGACTGCAAGTTAGGGCATTCTAGATTCCCCTAAAAGTATATGGCAATACCTGCACGGAAGGCCTTTAAAATTCAGAGATTAGGAAATCAACTAAATGTCTGGAAGGGTAGAAAGTTAGAAAGTACTGGAAATGCATAATGTTTACAGACGTGAAGTAAGGTTCAGGGTACATTTATTGGGACACATGGTTTTGCATGTGCCCTGACATATTGAGAACATATCTGCAACAATCTGCATGCACTGAAACTACATGTGCCAACATGGAAATTGTTGCAAATCTGGCATTTGCCAAAGAGAATGAGATGATCCAATTTGTCTCTGGTAGTTCTCTATGTACTACCAGAGGTGCTAGAGCTTGGAGCCTGAAACGTGATTGTCCGCTGTGTTGGGACAAAAATTGTCGTGTGGGACTAGCAACATCTTCTCCAAGTGAAAGTGTGTTGACTCTAGCTGGAGTGTTAGGTAGAGAGAAATCCTTACCGCCTGCTTGATACATACTAAAAAACATGTGATTTTTGTGGCCACCAAACATAGTGGCAGGATGTTGGCCTCTCGGTGACTGTAACCAGAAAAAAGGGGAAGGGAGTGACAGGTGAGGTCCTCTCTATATACCATGCGAGGTGGCTAGCTCACGAGTGACCCGATGGGTGTTTGCCTCCGAGCGTTGAGGCGGGGTGTTGACCTCGTGGGACCACTATACGACAGGCGTAGATGCCAAGAAAGGAGAATACCTATTGGAAACCTATAGTCCCTAATTGCCAGTACGCTAAACAGAACAGAAACAGAAAATCTATGTATATACCACATGAGCAGGTGTATGTATCAGGTAGTATGATTAGATACCCTTACTGGTCGTTAGGGTTATTAATACCTGTATCCCAGACGGGTAAAACAATGTATGAAAATTGAATATAGACATTTAAAAGTGTATACCCATATGTGTGTTATGCAAGTTTAATAGAGCAAAGTGCTCCGTCCCAATGTTTATTGTATGCTTGTAATGCCCCTGTTTGAAGGAAATTAACTTGTCGGGAGTGTTATATCATGTGTGATATGGAATACTACTGTACCCCGAAACCATGACTGGCAGCTGAATAACCTAATATGTGAAAATACGTAATTGGAAGGACTTATATTTTAAGCGTGCAAACATGCAAATATTCCGTATTAGACTCTGGAATCCTGCATAGTACTATAAATAGTATGTGCATTCTTGGGTAAATGTATGTGTATTGTCAGTAAATGTAACTAAATGCCTATGTAGGCTGGTATGCAGGAATGATTATATCATAGCAAGCATGAGTTGTAAGGAAGTGTTATTGTGTAATTATAATTATAGTGGGAATGTTATGAGGGGAATAACCATATGTCTGAAACGCCTGTAGTATACCGTTTGACAGATAGGAGTCAGTATAAAAGCGAAATGCTGTAGTTAGTTTGGTTGCTTATGAAGTGAAATAAAGTCTGAGAAGCCTGTAGTATACCGATTGACCGGTAGGGGTCAGTGTGTAGATGAAAATGCAGTGGTTTATTGGTTTGTACATGAAATCCAAAAAACGTCTAAGAAGCCTGTAGTGTACGAATGACCGATAGGGGTCAGTGTGTAGGTGAAAAATGCACTGGTTCGTTGGTTTGTACATGAAATGCAATAATGTCTGAGAAGCCTGTAGTACACCGAATGACCGGTAGGGGTCAGTGTGTAGGCGAAAAATTTCATTTCGTTTGTAATTTTAATGGAACAGATTTTAACCCAACAGATTTTAAACAACAGATTTTACAGCTAGGTGAGTATAAGGTAACAAAATAACCGTGCAAAACGAAAGGAAACCGTAAAGTGAGGACCCGTGCTGTGCTGAACGCCGTGGGAACTAATCCTGGCGCGACAGGTGGGTCAACTTACAGTTTGAGAGTCCCTGAGACACCATATGCAATGCTAACTGGAGAGAAAGCCACTGGATTAACGGAAAGCCCTGCTGCAAGATTCCTGGACACAGCTTGGAGTAGGAGACCTCATGGAGCAGAGCTGAAACCAAAATGGCGTCTTGTATTACCTGGAAGTGGATCTCATGCAAATGCTGACCTTGAACAGTCTATTCGTCTGACCAACAAGGGTAAGTAAGGGAATCCCTTTTATAGGTCTAATACCCTTCCCACAACTTCAGGCCATGCCTTCCAATATATATATATATTTTTTGTCATATATTAACAGGCTTATTGACTAATGTGATTATTTCCAGGAATTCAAGGTGAATTTCTAAATATAGGTAAAAATAGCCAAATTGGAAACAAAATAGACTTGGGGAATTGTTCCAGTTCAGATATTTTGGTCTATATTTTGAAATTGACTTTGAATTGCTGACAATTCTCACTTTAGTGTATAACCCTCTATATCATTAAGCACACTGTGTATGTTTAACTCAGATCAATATTTCCATGTTTTGTGTAGGCTCGGTTACCTGTAAAATGGATGGCTCCAGAAAGCATATTTGAAGGAATATACACCATTAAAAGTGATGTGTGGTCCTACGGCATATTACTGTGGGAGATCTTTTCTCTTGGTGAGGATGGTGCGATGGCAAGAGGGGATATTTATGCAGTTTGTAGTTACAGTTTTAAAATAGACTTCTTTTCTTTTACGTTAGGCATCAACCCATATCCAGGTATCCCAGTAAATGCCAACTTTTACAAGCTCTTGCAAAGTGGATTTAAAATGGACCAACCCTTCTATTGCACCGATGAAATGTAAGTGTGTAGGAACAAATCAGGTCCAGAATAGGAGACTGCCCTCCGTTCACCACCCAATGGGTAACACGAAGACATCTTCCTAAATTAATATGGATTTTTTTTCCCACCAAGACATTTCATTGTTTTAAATGAGACAGAATGTAGATAACAGTTGTTGGGGTTACAATTAAAATTACCTTAAGGAGATTTACAGAAGACAAATATACTAACTAAAATGACAAAATAAAACTAAATCAATAACATTTTCAAGTTCATATATTATATTAACATTTCACATTAATAACAATATCAATAACATCAAAATGGTCAGTTCCAAATAACGCCCTTGAAAACCTGTTATGAAATATATTTCCTTATGTTCTATCTGGAAGTAACCCATGAGGGCTCTTGCAAAGAAGATCAGTGAGTGAATTGAAATGTTTTGTAAATAAGTCTAAAGATTTTATGTATGGCTCACAAGAATTAAAAAACTGAGAAACCATTTGTTCCCAATGCTGGGCAGCCTTGACCCAATCCAATTTGGAAAGACATAACCCCAAGGTAAGTCTGTCTGGTGAAATTCAGGTGTGGGTGATGGTCTTCCTGCCATGCCCGCCCATGTTTTAGACACATTGAAGAGTCTATCAAACTAAGTCCAAGTTGGGAATCTGGATCCAAGTGTGCATATAATGTGGTCCACCGATGCATCTCCTGTTATATAAGGTGATATATTTCCATTGGTGGAAATAAAGAGGAAATTGTGTCTATTTGTAAATGGGGCATGTTAGGTTAGATTATTCTTATGCAGCCATACTGTATTCTAGTAGAGTAAAGAGATTGGGAAGGATTACACACTAAAGAGTATAACGAGTCCTTGTCTTGTAAATGAGGTCTAACTGAATAAATAGAATTTTGATTTTGTAAATAAGCAATAAGGGGATTGGAGTGCAGGGAATGTGTCAAGTATGTATTTGTAAGGTGTAAAATGTAAAATTAAACATAGAACTAGCGCCTCTCTATCCTGCAACTGGACGATTCAATCTTTGACCCCTGTCAATAAATCACTGCTTGAAGCTCTGTCCTTTGTACATGGCAGTCTGCATAGAAAAGGTATACGGAGAAGAGTAGAAAGTAAACAATCTGGGAGGTTTATCAAAGTGTTGCAAACAGTTTTGCATCTTTTTGGAAGCTTTTTAAACTCAATTTATGTTTTTTACATTTGTACCTTTTTGAACATTTTAATAACATAGGGCACAAAAATAAGAAAACAAAAAAAAGAAAAAAGCCAGAAAGGGGAAAAGAGGAAAAACCATTAAAATGGCATTCTATGTATAAAAAAAAACTAAATTAAAAAAAAGAAATCACATTTATCATACCATTATTTTTTCCATCAGAAAACTGTTTTCCTTCCGCTTTTTTTTGGTGAATTGGTGACATTTGGACAGAGACAAACTGACACTTTAGATCATTATAGAAGAATTTAATAAAAAATATTCCCAGATCCCAAGAAAGATCAAATTTTTGCATGTGCCTTTAAAAAGAAACAAACGGGATATATGTGTTTATTAACTAATTTCTCCAAGAAGAAGTTTTAAGTAATCAACTTGCTTGTAAATATATGTTTTTGTAGATTCCTATTTTAAGGTCTGTTTTCCCCACAGATATTTCCTGATGCAATCCTGCTGGGCTTTTGATTCTAGGAAAAGACCATTTTTCCCACAGCTTGTTTCCTTTCTAGGATATCAGATCTCGAATACAGAAGCCATGGTATGTAAAAATGTTGTAAGGAATGAAAAATAAATGATAGTGACTTTACTACCCACAACACAGAACCAGTGCCAGGGATAGGCAACCTTGGGTACTCCAGATGTTGTGGACTACATCCCCCATAATGCTCTTACACCTATAATGTTGGCAAAGCATCTCATGGAAGGTGTAGTCCAAAACATCTGCAGTGCCAAATGTTGCCTATGCCTGACTAGTCACCAGGGCCAGACTGGCCCACTGGGATACCGGGAAATTTCCTGGTGGTCCGTCGGCACCTGGGACTTCTGGGTGTGCTGGCGGCCGCTGAAGGAGCAGGGATGGCGGCCGCTGGAGGAGCTGTTCTGGTGGCCGCAGGGGAAGCTGTGCTGTATCTGCTCCCCAGCGCGCCAGTATGTGTGTGTCTGTCTGTTTGTCTGTCTGTCATGGTGTGTGTGTGTGTGTGTGTGTCTGTCTGTCATCGTGTGTGTGTGTGTTTGTCTGTCATGGTATGTGTCTGTCTGTCATGGTGTGTGTCTGTGTCATGGTCTGTCTGTCTGTCATGGTGTGGGTGTGTTTGTGTCATGGTGTGTGTGTGTGTGTCTGTCTGTCATGGTGTGTGTGTCTTTGTCATGGTCTGTCTGTGTCATGGTCTGTCTGTGTCATGGTGTGTGTCTGTCTGCATCATGGTGTGTGTCTGTCTGTCATGGTGTGCGTGTTTGTGTCTGTGTCATGTTGTGTTTGTGTCTGTATCATGGTGTCAGCGTCTGTCTGTGTGTCTGTCATGGTGTGTGTGTGTCTGTCATGGTGTGTGTGTGTGTCTGTCATGGTGAATGTGTGTGTCTGGGTGTGTTTTAAAAATAAGTGTTTTTACTCACCTTTTTTTTTTCCCCACGCCATGCTGGTCTCCCCTCAACTGGCCCTGCCTCTATGGCTGAGATCATCAAGCTTGCCATAGGATTGGCTGCAAAACGCTACACCAAATCTCTACCAATCTCTATGGGGAATCTTCAGCGGCTCCAGAGTGTGGGGGCCCTGAATGTAGGTGCTGCATACTGTGCAGCACTGACACTGGAAGCACCTCTAGTGACCATCTGAGTGACTGTCACAAGAGGTGTCACTAGGAAGCAATGTAAACTCTGCCTTTTCTCTGAAAAGTCATTGTTTACAATGAAAGCCTGCAGGGACAGGCTATAGACCCCAGAACCACTACATTAAGCTATGTGTCCAATTTCCTTCTTCTCTCCCTCCCTCTCCAATTTCCTTCTTTTCCCCCTCCCTCTCCAATTTCCTTCTTCTCCCCCTCCAATTTCCTTCTTCTCCCCCTCCCTCTCCAACTTCCTTCTTCTCCCCCCTCCAATTTCCTTCTTCTCCCCCTCTCCAATTTCCTTCTTCTCCCCCTCCCTCTCCAATGTCCTTCTCCCCTTCCCTCTCATTGCCTTCTCCCCCCTCCAATTTCCTTCCCCCCTCCCCTTCCTCTCCCCCCTCATATTTCCTTCCTCTACCCCCTCCCTCAAATTTCCTTCTTCTCCCCCCCTTTCTCTCCCCCCTCCAATGTCCTTCTTCTCCCCCCTCCAGCTTCCCTTCTTCTCCCCCTCCTCTCCCCTTCCTCTCATTGCCTTCTCCCCCAAAAATTTCCTTCTATCTCCCCCCCCTCAAAATTTCCTTCCTCTCCCCCCTCCCCTTCCCTCTCCCCTCACCTCAAAATTTCCTTCCTCTCCCCCCTCAAATTTTTTTCCTCCCCCCCTCAAATTTCCTTCCTCTCCCCCCCTCCCTTAAATTTATTTTACCGTTGCGGTTGTCATGCCCTGATGGCGGCCCTGTGTGTGCGCGCCTGCTAGTGAGGGAGCTTGCTTGCATGTGTGTGTGTGTGTGTGTGTCTGCTAGTGAGTGAGCTTGTGTTTTTATGTCAATGAGCTTATGTATATCAGTGAGATTGTTTGTCTATGAGGCTGTGTATCAATGAGCTTGTGTGTGTCAGTGAGATTGTCTGTGTCTGCACGTGAGTATGCTTACTGTATACTTAATCGTTTTACTCTGAAAGGACCAATATTTTATATTAGAAAAAGCAATATATATTTGAGATATATGTATTACTCAATCATCTGGGGTAGCAAGACATAGCCTTACATATAACATGCGACAATATAAGGCGCATTGACTTATGGGGCTGACATATATTTTTTTCCAGGGCTGCTTTGTATCCCCAGTCCGGCCCTGCTAGGCACTGCAAGGCAGCAAGAAATCTTACAATCTTAAATCTTACACGAAAGTAAGAATTTCCTCCCCAGAATTGTAGTGACTCCCCCACAACAACTGTTACACATCTCTCCATATAGTGTGGGATTGAAATAATGCCCCATGTGTAGCATACCACATTACAGTACAATATGTAAAACATTCCTCTAAAGAATAACATTTAAAATTAACATTTCTGTTATTTATATTTTTTCATTGTTTCCCACATTCTAATACAATGTAGCATTGAGTACCACTTACCATCTCTATATAACACCAGGGCGTAGATCTGAAAGCAAGACTTAATAGATTTTCCCCTCTCTCATAAACAGGTTTATCAAAATCTGGATAAAAGCAGAGAAAGCAATATTCAGAAGAGAAACAGCTCAAACAAAGTCGCCTCCAGTTTTTCAGATGAAGGCTCAACTCTTATTTAGCGAGGAACGCGGAACCTGCTTTTGTGATTTAATTATGTAATTATGTCTGAGATGTTCCTAGTTAGATGAACTGACAGATGCTGGTTCTTCGTTATTATTTTACAGCTGAAAATAGAATTGACCTTGTATGGATTATCCATGGTTATTGTCTGGCTCAGCTTTTAGCATATATATTGTCAATATTGAAACATTCTAGTGCCAGATGTTTGTGCAATTCCTCAAGTGTGTCAAATGCGTGACACCCACATTATAAAAAGGGACACACTAGACACGATAACCAGGTTCATTTAAGTTTTTATGGTGCCCTCATTTAGTGTTAAAACACTCCAAAACAGTTCAATATTGAGCCAAAGGATAGTGCCAGGGGACTCAAAACACCATAACTAATCCAGTGAGATGAAGTGATTATGGTGCATTGAATGTTCCTTTAATCAAACTGAATTCAGGGATGAACATGAACAATATATATGGCAAAATACATGGCTCCGTTTTTAAAAGCTAATCACTTATTTTACGGGGTTTTTTTTTTTTTTTTAGAGACAGTGTTAGCGTCTTTTTATTAATGTTATAGTGCTAGAAATATACTGTATACTACAGAATGCATTTTCAAGATGGTCACATATAGAAAAATAGCTTCAGAAAAAAATGTATGTGCTTTATTGTAAAATTGTTGTAGATTTAAGATAGATCATATATAGGAGCCCAGTAGGTGAATACAGTATTATGATGTCTGATATTTACTATGTGATTCAAAGGGCATAATATGCAGGATGCAACCACTATGTTAATGCATTGCATATTATAGATAGATAGCTATACACATATACTTTGATAGGTATATACATATACTTTGATAGCTATACACATATACTTTGATAGGTATATACATATACTTTGTCTTTGTTAATTTGCTTCTTTTTATCGAGATGTTTGATCAAAGAACTTCTGGCTGTCTGTAGTGGAGATGGGGAGCTGCATCCAACCAACCACAAGCAAAAAGTCAAACTTTTATCAAATGGCTTGACTAGTTACAATAGGAAGCACTATGGCGCTTCTGGTACTATAACATCAACAGCATGCTGTAGTGGTTATGGTACATTGAGTGTTCCTTTAAGACTAATTTAGCTTAGTTGTTACTAGCCAAGTTAGGGAACTGCTTCAAATCTAAAATGTTTGCCTAAATGTTACCATTCTGATCATTATATTTAAAAGTTTAGTAAATAAACTCTGATGTTTTGTAATAAAATTAGATTGTGAACACCGAGATTGAAACTGGTTGAGCTACTTTAAGGGGTATAATAAAAGTAGAGTTTAACACATATTGGGTATATTGGGAAATTTACATAATTCCAAATACCGAATACATTTTGATTAAAATCTAGCCATGGGACCTAAGTAAAGAGCCCAAACAGAAATGGATAATCTTAACCCAATATGCAGAGCGCCCTTTACTCAATGGAACCCGTTTATGCAAGAATTAATGTAGGGTATTCTAGTGACTGGGAGATTTTAATGAATATAGTTAATATTTTGTGTTTTATTTTGTGTGGTTATAAGCTGACCTTTCCAGCTGATTTTATAAGCTATTGAAGTGTGATAAGCTATTTTAATATATGTATTTTGTTGACTTTTTTTAACTTCAAGGGGATAAACCTACTAACGCATGTGTTCTCTAATTTGCAAGTGTGAGACAGAGAGGATTTGTATATAATGGGTTAATAATCCATCAAAGAGTTCTTGAGCTATAAACCGCTAGATCAGGCTTAGGCAACCTTCGGCACTCCAGCTGTCTTGGCTAAACCTCCCATGATGCTTTGCCTATATTATGGGTGTAAGAGCATTATGGGGGATGTAGTTCACAACATCTGGAGTGACAAAGGTTGCCTATACCTGCGCTAGACCAAAGTTTGTCACCAGAAACAACAGAATGCACAGTTTGCACTTATATACTTTTTCTATTACGTTGTCATTAGTGATGTCCCGAACGGTTCGCCGAACGGTTCGCCGAACGGTTCGCCACGGATGGCGAACATATGCGCTGTTCGGTCCGACCCCCTATACCATCATAGAGTAAACTTTGACCCTGTCCCTCACAGTCAGCAGACACATTCCAGCCAATCAGCAGCAGACCCTCCCTCCCAGATCCTCCCACCTCCTGGACAGCTCACTAAGAATTCAGCTTCACAATGAATGTAAAATGGATGCTGTCCAGGAGGTGGGAGGGTCTGGGAGGGAGGGTCTGCTGCTGATTGGCTGGAATGTGTCTGCTGACTGTGAGGTACGGGGTCAAAGTTTACTCAATGATGACATAGGGGGCGGACCGAATAGCGAACAGTTCGGGACATCACTAGTTGTCATTTATTTTTCAGTTAGTGTTAGTGCTAAGATTTGTGCTAAGATTAGTGTTAAGGTTCCTTTAATCTCAAGCCAGCATCAACACGTACATTTTTCTGACTGCAGCCTACATTGGATGGATGGATCTAAAAATATATATTTTCTTTGAGATGGGTAACTTCACTTTTGTTGCAACCCTTTAGAAAATATGTTGTACAATATTCTTTGGGGTTTCTGCTCTGGATTAGCAATTCTGGGGTAGAGTCATGTTCTGTATAGGAATGTGGAAACTTGGGTGTTTACAATGGGAATGTGCAAAATTCAGAAGGCTCAGCAAGAGGTGAGTGTTTCTCAATATGAAGTTCCAATAGATATTGCTGGATTTTACTGCAAATTGGCCTAGTGAATATCTGCAATGATAATATTAATTTTATTACATTTTGGTTCACTGGTGGCTAACCTGACCCCGAAGATCTGTGTTAACATTTTAAGACTGACAAGGACTGACTGAACATTAAGTCAAATGTATTTCAAAAACATTTGGAGTGCCAAATTAATCCTCTGGTTTTTAGGTTACTATAACTTTTTTTAGTACGCTAAGTAAAGCACACAAGCAAAATGTCTTTATTTCAAGTAATGACAAAAGTTCAACAATATATATTTTTTAATAATTTGTCACACTTTACCTTTAAGGCATTAATACGTTTGTGCTCTCTTTCGTTAAAGAATACATTTTAATAAGTTGCATTAAAGCTGTTTTACATTATATTGATTATTGTCTAGTTGTTTATGTTCTTCTGCCTTACTTATGTTTAATTTGTCTGTCTACATGCATATGAAAGTCTTATACCTTGCTCACATGTTAAAAATAATCTATTGATAGCAAACCTGTGGCACAAAAGTACAACACAGACTGTGAAGGAAAATTTTGCACAAATGCGTTAAAGGGACACTGTAGGCACCAAGACCACTTCAGCCCATTGAAGTGGTCGGGGTCCCAACTCCCATCACCCTTAACCCTGGGCATGTAATTATTGCAGTTTTTATAAACTGCAATAATTACTTTGCAGGGTTAAGTCCTCCTTTAGTGGCTGTCTACCAGACAGCTACTAGAGGGACTTCGGGTTCTTAGATGACTTTTGGTCATCTAAACCAGTGTTTTTCAACCACTGTTCCGCGGCACACTAGAGATGTTGCCTGGTGTGCCGTGGGATGTCTGATGTTCTGATGTCCGGGCTGTGATCAGGGCCGGACTTGCCCACCGGGATCAGGGCCGGTCCGGTGGCACACTGAGAGGGGGCCGGCCGCGTTCCAGACTGGAGCCGCCGGGCCGGGTGGCAGCTTCGCCGGTGCGGCGGCACTCCAGTCACTGGCTGCTGATGGAGGAGGAGCCTGTCTACCATGCTCCCTCGCGGGGGAGATATAGGGAATGGGGGGGGAGAGACACAGGAAAGGGGGGGAGGGAAGGAGAGACACAGGAAAGGGGGAGGAAGAGCAGGGAAAGTGGGCGGAGGGAGAGACACAGGGAAAGGGGAGGGAGAGACACAGGGAAAAGGGGGGGGAGGGAGAGGGAGAGGGAAAGAGGAGAGGAGAGACACAGGAAAGGGGAGAGACACGGGAAAGAGGAGGGAGAGACACAGGAAAGGGGGAGGAGGGAGAGGGGAGAGACACAGGAAAGGGGAGGGAGAGGGAGGGAGAAGGGAGAGACACAGGAAAGGGAGGGGAGATGAGGGGAGAGGGGAGAGACACAGGAAAGGGGGGAGGGAGAGGGGGAGAGACACAGGGAAAGGGGGAGGGAGAGATGGTGAGAGGGGAGAGACACAGGGAAAGGGGGGAGGGAGAGATGGGAGAGATGGAGAGAGGAGAGACACAGGGAAAGGGGAGGGAGATGGTGAGGGGAATAGGGAGAGGGAGAGACACAGGGAAAGGGGGGAGGGAGAGAGATGGGAGAGACAGGAAAGGAAGGAGGGAGGGAGATGGGAGAGACAGGGAAAGGAAGGAGGGAGGGAGATGGGAGAGACAGGGAAAGGAAGGAGGGAGGGAGATGGGAGAGACAGGGGAGGAAGGGAGATGGGAGAGGCAGGGAAAGGAAGGAGGGAGGGAGGGAGATGGGAGAGACAGGAAAAGGAGGGAGGGAAATGGGAGAGACAGGGAAAGGAAGGAGGGAGGGAGATGGGAGAGACAGGGAAAGGAAGGAGGGAGGGAGATGGGAGAGACAGGGAAAGGAAGGAGGGAGGGAGATGGGAGAGACAGAGAAAGGAAGGAGGGAGGGAGGGAGATGGGTGTTTATTTGATTCCTATTCAAGAGAATTACTTTATATATATAGTCAATATAGGCACAGAGTTAAATTTTTTTACATTTTCTAATGGTGGTGTGCCTCATGAATTTTTTCATGAAACAAGTGTGCCTTTGCCCCAAAAAGGTTGAAAAACACTGATCTAAACCAGTGTTCCCCAAGCCAGTCCTCATGGACCCCAACAGTCCAGGATTTATGTATTTCCCTGTTTTATTCCAATGGAGATACTGACAAAACCTGGACTGTGGGTGGTCCATGAGGACTGGGTTGGGAAACACTGGTCTAAACGATGCTGGATGCCCTCACGCTATGCCTTGAATAATGCTTCCTATGGGGAGATCCTAATGAGACCAGGAGCGTGGGCGGAGCTGAGCCAGTGCCGAGGGACATCGGTGCTGGACCCAGGTAAGTGGCTGAAGGGGTTATGAACCCCTTCAGCACCGCGAGAGGTGGCCTTGACAGAGAGGAAAGCCACAGTGCCAGGAAAACGAGTTTGTATTCCTGGCACTATAGTTTCCCTTTAACCTAGAGAGATAATTCTAGGTTAGTGGTTAGCCAGCTACCTGTATTAAAGCCTCAGCCAGGATCTTTATCAGTCTATGTATATTTTTTCTTTAGTGTTTATTTTCTTCATTATATACATAATACTACATATTATGCTTCCATGAGTTACAATCCGTTGCAATGTTTGTAATGTTACATACAATCTATATCACATTCAATATTCTATAACTTAAAGGACCACTCTAGGCACCCAGACCACTTCAGCTTAATGAAGTGGTCTGGGTGCCAGGTCCTTCTAGGGTTAACCCATTTTTTAATAAACATAGCAGTTTCAGAGAAACTGCTATATTTATTAATAGGTTAAGCCTTCCCCCAAAGCCTCTAGTGGCTGTCTCATTGACAGCCACTAGAGGCGCTTGTGTGCTTCTCACTGTGATTTTCACAGTGAGAGCACACAAGCGTCCATAGGAAAGCATTGTAAATGCTTTCCTATGCGACCGGCTGAATGCGTGCGCAGCTCTTGCCGCGCGTGCGCATTCAGCCAACGGGGTGGAACAGAGGAGGATCGGAGGAGGAGAGCTCTCCGCCCAGCGCTGGAAAAAGGTAAGATTTAACCCCTTTCCCCCTTCCAGAGCCGGGCGGGAGGGGGATCTTGAGGGTGGGGGCACCCTCAGGGCACTATAGTGCCAGGAAAACGAGTGTGTTTTCCTGGCACTATAGTGGTCCTTTAAAGGGACACTATAGTCATCCAAACAACTTTAGCTTAATGAAGCAGTTTGTGTGTATTGATTAGTGTGTATGGGCAAACAATTCGGTTCAGTTTGGCACTAATGAAATTCAGGACTTCGGCAATTCGGTAGACTTGTGCAATTCGATTCAGTCCGAATGTGAATTCGGACGAAATTCGGACATTCGGGTACTTCCGAATGTCTGAATAAATGAATTGCTGAATGGTTGAAGTCCCAAAGTTCCGAAATTACCGAATTTCTGAAGTGTCGAAGTTCCGAAGTGCTGATGTTCCAAAGCACAGTATTGCTAATATAGAGTGCTCTGTGTCATTTTACACACAGTCGGAAAGTTCTTTGGAATTTTCCCACGCTGTGTAATTTGACTCATAACACTCTGATTGGTTACTTAATCCACCAATCAGAATGTTATGAGTCAAATTACAAAGCGTGGGAAAATTCCAAAGAACTTTCCCATGCTGTGTGAAATGACACAGAGCACTCTGATTGGTGAATTTCAAGCCAACCAATCAGAGTGCTGTGACAGGTAAATGTACAGACTTACCTGTCAGTCCATTCATTTACCTGTCAGAGCACTCTGATTGGATGGTTTAAACCCACCAATCAGAGTGCTCTGAGCCTAATTGCAGGGCGAGGCATGCCTATGATACTATCCCAATCTCGCTGCCGAAATAATTCTTTCTACAGATGAAATCCATATTTATAATATTTGTCTGGGCACATGGGAAACCTATAAAAGCATATAAATGTATTCTTCAGACCACGAGACAGAATAGAGGCAGGATTACCCAATTACGCAGTTCATTTGGTACGAATAGTTGACTGGTCATCTAAATATTCCCTCAAGCAATGGATAATCATTGAACAACCCACCATGGCAACACCTATCCGAGCATTTCCATGGCTAGTCCTACAACCATCATCCCCCTCCTTATCCCATCATCCAACCTACTGACCACTTTACACATTTTGGAAAAAGATTGCACACTATTCGGACATGCCACTCTCTATCTCCCTCAAATACCTGATCTCCCTTAACCTTCTCTTCCCTCCTGGACTCAAAGGTCTGCCCTTTCTCCATGAGTCTTGTGGCGAAACCAACCTCGCCACTGGACATTGGAGAAGCCTGTTTGCCCGCCTCCTGCCTGCTGACTATGGCCCCTGGGAGATTTGGCCCTTTAAATACAGTATTTGGGCATATTGCATTTTATTATGCTGCTGCTGGCCCTTTAAGAACCATCTGGGGACATACTGTGGAGTTACTGGGTGGCCACCATTTCATGTATCAGAGGCACATGGTGAGAACAATGGATGAAGCACATGGTGAGAACAATGGATGGTGGCCATTTTAACTCACAGACACTGTTTGGACTTTTCTACACGGTGCCATCTCGCCAGTATTTGGTGCACGAAGACATCGTTCAGTAGTTTTGAATATACATGAAAAGGTGTGGATTAAATGGCGCTTTATGATATGAATTGAAGAATATAGTACAGCTGCTGTATACACTCTGTGGGTACTCCTTACAGCCCACCACACATAGATGATCACCAAAACACACAAAAAACTTCTGGTTTAGCTGATGTTGCCACCTTCCAAGCCCAAAGTTTTTAAATTGAGTGCAGCGCTATATTAGTGTGAGGTAAGTGCGTTCACTAGATATTTTAGAAACTCTTACCCTTTATCCATTTATCTTAGTATGGTTGATATATATAAAAAAGAACAGAAAGAACATATACAGATAATAGTGTAATATGTCTTTTGATATGACAATAAGTGAATTTGTGAATATATATACACTCACATTTGTTAGAGCCTTTTGAGTATTAGGTTCTAAATGTCCGCACGTCTGTGTCTACCCAAAAAGACACTACTGTCTACTCTCGACTGAAGCACTTCATGAGCACACTACTATTTACCATCTCAAGGTCTCAGAGACAAGATCAAATTTGAACTACTATGGGGGCCAATCGGTTCTTAAACTTCTATCTAAATGGTACAAACTACTCTTACCAATGATTTTCCATAGACCACCTCTATACACATGTATGTGAAATTACCACATTACCCACCCTTGACATATAAGGACTGGTTTAAAAATCTACTTTAAAATTACTGTGTCGAGAGCAACCTCGCCACATTGCATTGGAGAAGCCTGGTTGCTCGCCTGTTGCCTTTGGACTATGGCCCCATATTAAAAGACTTTGTTTCCCCTGCAAAAAAGACTTATTCATGCTTTTCTGCTCGGTGTTCGTTAGATTCAATCTACCGAACAACCGCACGAATGACTGGGAGCTGGAGTGTGTCGGCAATTTACCTCCCAGAAGCTGCGGTTAACCACAGCTTAATTGACAATTACTGGGTGGTCGCGGTTACACCTAGCCGCCACACGATGGCGGTGTTATGGAAGCCTCCCCGGGTAGCCAGCGCTTGTTCTACCCAGCGGCAGGACACCAAAAGCGGACACTTTTGTCTTTCAAGCCCCGCTGAGGCTGGAAGTCTGCAAACCCGTTCGGGAACCGAACAATGGAGCATTCGGGACTTTTTAGTGTTGCAATATATTCGGTGTGAAAGTACCCAGATAGCCTGCCATGGAGCCTGTTCGTGGAATTAAAGACTTTGGCTCCATGGCGATTAAACTGTATTCGTGTGGTCTGAGCGCCATTCGCTTAATAATGTGCGCTCAGACCTGAGCTATCTGGGGATATGTTAAATGTATATTTTATTTGTAACTTTTGTCACATAGGGTATTTTAATAGTAATTCCTATTCTAGTATCCCCACGTGCATAATGGCGATTTGCCTTTGTCCTGGGAGATAATTGAATTACTTCTCAATTATCTCCAGGGCAGAGGGGAGAAAACCTGCTTGACCCCCAACACGGAGCCTTGTCTTGTCTTTGGGGGGGATTTACTGTATGCTGATCGAGACTGATTGCTAGGAGTATAAGCCGCTTGGGTGCTTTTCCTATTCGTCTGCTAGCAGCTATTCGTATGATTCCAGTTCGTGAGTTTGGAGAGCTATATTGTATGCCGTTCGGGAGTTTGGAGCATTCCCTTACATGCGGTTCGGGAGTTTGGTGTTCTACAGTAGCTGTGCCTGTATATCTGGAAAGAGAAAATCTACTAAACGGTTTTAACCTCTTGTGTGCAAAACGGTCCGTTACAATTACCTACTCACACACCAGCTTACAATTACTGGAAACTATCTATAAACTATTGGCGAAGTGATACATCACTCCAGTTGATATACATAGATACATACCTACAGAATCTGGTAATTTCTGTCGATTTGAGACAGATAAGGGAACTCTTGTACACTTCTGGTGGTCCTGTAAATACATAATACCATTCTGGGACAAAGTCTGTACTCTAATTAAGAAAACAGTAGGCTGCCAACTAGAATTAGACATTGCCACATTCCAACTAGAATTAGACATTGCCACATAATTACAAAGAATCTATTCTTTATTTTATACTCAAAGTGGCCAAAAGAGTACTGACGAGCTTGTGGAGGTCTAACACATCACCCTCTGTTCGGACCATAATACACAAATTGGAACAAATACGTACACTGGAGAAACTTAGATGGTCTTCTCTATGCAATTCCTTGAAATATCAATGCATCTGGAAACCGTGGATTGCCTATATAAAAGGGCATATCATAGAGTAGTCATGGACAACCCTCCTTCCACAGGATATAGGCATTAGCATCTCTACTTATCCAAACATGTTTGTGATTTTCAGACCCTCTAAATGTAAGCATTATACCTGTGAGTAAAACCACGACTGATACCAGACGCCCAGTAGCTAAAAATCTTCAAGAACACATTTTACGATGTACACTTAGCTTTTATAATTTACTCTTGTTTTCTTATTGCCTTTTACACATGTTATATGCATTGTTTTGGGGAGTTACAATATGTATGTCAACACATTTTTGATCACTGTCACAATCTTTTGGAAATACATCCAACTGACAATCCTGTTATGTATCGAAATTGTGAATCATTATGTATGTCTGTAAAATCCTTACACAAAAACTTATACTAAAAAAAGGGATTTAACTCCTAAGTAGAAGAAACTTAAGCAGTGAAACTTTAGAGGCATAGGCCATACAAAAACTGCTTCATTAAGTTAAACGTGCTTGGTGACTATAGTGTCCCTTTAACTCCTAAGGTTCTTTCCTGTTATTGAATGCACTTGTAATCATGACTGATTATATTTCTTACCTGTTCTGTGTTAAATTTATATATGCGTATTTTAATATTATTTTGCAGTTTTAATATTTTACTGTACCCTATTGTAGCAATGGAATGCTTGTGGCCCAGGATATACTTGAAAACGAGAGACATCTCAATTAATCCTTCAGGGTAAAATATTTTATAAATAAATAAGTATTGGAACTCCTCCCTCGGGATACCTGTGTCTTAAAAGGCTGTTTGGTAAGGTGGGTCCAGCAAGGTAAGTAAAGTAACTATCACTCTCAGCTTATAGTTTAGGGGGCTTCACTGTAGTCCTGGGACATTGGACATTTAAGACTGAGCTGAGGGTTAGAAGTAGGGTCAGGAACTAATTTAACCTCTCTTGATTCTTATTCTAATCCTAATCCCAGAAGTAAGGTTAAAATTAACTCTGGGCATAAATTGTTTTTTTTCTTCTAGGTGTCCGTAATCTATAAATAAACAAAAATAACTCCCTAAATCTAACCCTAATTTTAACCCTTGCCTTAACCCGAAATGTTCCATGTCCTGGTGCTGCAGTGAGGTCCCTAACTATAAGCTGAGTGTGACAGTAACTATACCTACCATGTAGGACCTACCTCGTCGAGCAGGGAGGACGAGTTCCCAAGGGAGGACGAGTTCTGATGATTGCTTAGTTGTAAGGGGAAGTGTGGAGGGCAGATAGCAAAAAAGATACAAAAGTAAAGTAACAAAGTATCAATATTAACTGTAATGATTCTACCAAAAAAATGGACTTTAATCTGTAGAATCAGTAAAAGTCAGTGACCTGTGGTTCAGCAATTGGTTAAAGTTTCAACATATTAACTGGTCTCTGGTTTGGGGAATTCGTAATCACAAGCCATTCCCAAGTTGATCACCATGGATCTAAATGCTGTGAACTCGATGAACTACGAGGAGTTTGTGGATATTTTTGGCAACGTTGTGGAAAAATGTCCTCTAATCACAGGAGCGATTTGGTCCAAATGTCCATTTTCAAGTGTTGCTGATCTGGAAGCAAGTATTTATGAATTTATAGATTCCCTGCCATCATCTGGTAAGGATACTCTGCAAAACTATACATCGTGTCTTGTTTTTAAAAATAATTTCTTTCACCTTCCTCACTGCTACAGAATCCAATATTTCTTCTGCTGTGCTCACAATATTATATTCCTAAAACACTGGAGGATCCAAAGGGGGAAATGTTTTTCATGATACCTCTCCCTGAGGTAACACCATGTGTAGAATGTACAAATGTATCCCTTGCAAAACATTCCATTCTTTACTGTTGGTGCCATAGGCTTGGATTAACGATGATTGACAGCTGGTGTACTCTACATTCTGTGCAAGATTTTCTCCTAGTGAGCAGTGATTCCTCTGAAGTACAAGTAATGCCAACTACAAGCCCCACTCACTTTACAGGGTTCTCCAAACTCTGACCCTCCGTATGTTGCTTAACTACAACTCCCATGATTCTCTAGCTATCTATTTCATTCAAAGAATCATGGGAGTTGTAGTTCAGCGACATCTGCAGGGCCAGTGTTTGGAGAATCCTGCACTAGGAGGATAACAGATGCAGATAGTAGTGACAGGAAGCTGCATTGAACATTGCCTGTTAACGCTCTTTCATCAAACACCTATACCACCAATTGTGAAAGGTATGATGTATTGTATGAGCGACATCTGTAGCCCCCTTTGCTGCCCCTCTATGCCAAGTACGTGTCTGTTGTCATGTGCCTTCCTTCTCATACTACCTTTTATCTTCAGAACTAAAAAAAAAAATAACTTGTTCGTTTAGGTTTCTCTCTGGAAAAGGCCATTCTAGTTTTCCACCATTTGAAATTGTCTGCATTCTAGATATAGTCAGTATCCAAGGAATGCTAGTCTAATCCCATTCATCTGCAACAATAGTACTCCGATGCTCTTAAGGACACATTTATTGGAACAAGGTGAACACTGCATGTTTGGATCCATTAATAGGTTTTTGTCAAGTTTAACAAAGCTATTTGAACTGTGCTGGTCCTGGGTCTGGTTGCACCTTATTTTAGTTCATGTGAATTGAGTGCAGTTTCTAATTGATTTTCTTGTGATATTCAGCAGTAACAGCCACCTGCCTCTACAAGTCATTAGCAGAAACCAGTACAATAACCCACCTGAATTAATTCACATTGTTTGTTCTACCAAATATAAAACTCCCCATGATTGTATATATTTTATTATTACTTTTCATTGGACTAAACTTCTTTGGAAATGCTAAAATGACGTTGAAAACCAAGAAAAGGTACCAGTTTCTATTCTATAATATTCTATCTACACCTTAGCAATAGCCATTATAGGAAAGCAGGGGAAGAAAGAATGCACTGCCATCTAGTGCCAGAGCAGGGAATTGGCAGACGGTTAATCAAAGCTCTCGTTCAGCATGGGTTACTGTTACTGATCCCACAACAATTACAGTACTGAAACTACTACTGCACTGAGTAGTAACTTGAAGTTTTTTCTCTTACTGAATGATCCAAACAACAAACAACTGAAATTAAAGGAAAACTATACTGTTAGGAATATTAAACTGTACTGCTAACACAATAGTGCTCTCTGCCCCACCGCCCCTCGTGCCACTTCCCCAGGCAAATAAAGGATTAAAAAACCCTTTAAACAAACACTTATCTGATTCCAGTGGCAATGCTCTTGGTGTTGGCTCACGCTCCTCCAACAGGGGCGGACGGGACTAATGTGCATGCGCAGCAAGCGCCCCATGCACATTAGGCCTTTCTCATAATTAAGCATTGCGTCAATCTTTTCCTATGGGGATTCTGAAGACACTGGATGTCCTCATGCAAAGAATGAGGATGTCCAGTGTTGTTTCACAGAGTCAAACTCTGAAATTGCAGGAAGCACCTCTATGGGGTGTTTGGTAGACAGCCACTAGAGACAGTCTTAACGCTGCAATGTAAAAATTGGACTTTCTGAAAAACTTCAGTGTTTTACATTGCAGGACTAAGGGAACACTCCACCAAACCGATTTAATGGGATGAAGTGATCTCAGTGCCCATAGTGTCCCTTTAAATAAACAGCTGAGGTTGACGTTGCCCCCAAATCTACCTTTGTGTTTTATAGTGGTTTTGAGATAATGAATTTAAGGAAGAGAGGCACAAAGTTTTTTTTTTTTTTTTTAATGTAAAACTAAAAAAATAAAATCAATTGAGACTGTTGCAAATCTGAAGATTCTTCAGCGAGCAGAGAGTGAACGACCGGTTATTGGCTAAAGTGTGAATTGTCTAAATTCAAAGTTAATTTTCACATTTTTATTTAGATTAAAATAGCCAAACTTGAAGCAAAGTTCATTTTCCATTTCAGATATTTTCTCCTAAAATGTGAGATTCACTTTGGATTCACTTAAATTCCTGATAATTCTTACTTTCGATACCCACAATGTAGATCTCTAGATGAACCACATCTTCTAGAACTATAGCTTCTAAAGAAAGTCTGGCATTATGGCAGCTGCAGCTCTACAATGTCTATGAATCTACTTTTGGGGCACCACTATTTTAGATAATAATGTTTTTTTCATGGCTTTTTTTCATATCTTGCAAATCTCTGTGACCTTGGTTTGGGTAACTGAGTATCAAGTAGCTTTATCCATAAAAAGACATGAATAAATATAATGAACCATCTAACAAAAGACATAGCGTACATAAATTAAATAACTTTGCCAGCTGATAAAAGCTGTTAAAAGTGTCATTTTGATAGCCGTGTGGGTTCTCTCTCTCTCTCAAAGGGAGCTCATAAAGTGACTTAAAGGGACAGATCCCTAAAGCACCTTGGATTGATGAAATGCTTTACGTATGAGGAGTGTGTCCTACTTTTATTATTTTGCAAAAAGTGCAGATTTCTGTAGAAGTTAAAACTTTTATAAAGTAACCTGGTTACATCCCACTGGCGTTCAAGCAGACAGCTGGCCCTGTTACTTCCTGGTTTGGTTATCTCAGTGAAGCTAAACTCAACAGGCAGCAATTACTCAGAGCACCTGCCATGCAAACACGTCTAATTGAGATGAATTGGAAAGTCTGAGCTTGCAATAGCTGCAGACAAGAGAACTGCAGGTTCTGCATGAGGTTTTTATATATAACCCCAATGAAAAAAAATTATAATTAATAGCATGCATGTTCTCATTTGGGTATACCTGCTAAACAGATTTTTATTTATTTGGTATTTGGACAGGTGGAGTACCCCTTTAAGAACTTTATTAATTACATTTGTACGGTTGTTATTGGGGTTTAGTTGCCTTTAGATAATGTTGGGGTGGACATAAAGCTTAATCTCCATTAGCAAATTGCTGCAGCTATTATGAATATGTTTAAAAAAAAACCACATTTATAAGTAAATATTTTTTTTCAGTAAATCATCTTCCTTACACTTGTTCTGTGGGGTAGACCTATTTAAGTGGAAACTATCCCTTCCCAGGATATTCAATATTCTGTTTGCACACCAACTAAATTTAGCAAATATGTTTTTGTGACCTCTGAAAAATAAGATGCAATGTAAAAAATCCCACATCTTGGAACTGGGTACCACCTCCTTGGTTCTGCATCAATCATCATTATAAGTGCTGCCCTTTTTGTCTATCTCTTGTCTCTTCATCATTTGTATTGTATGCCCTGGTGGTTTTGTCTGAACTGAACTGGATTGTGATTTCACCTCCTCAATCTTTACTATACTATACATTTTAAAAGAAAGCAAATTCACAAATATAACACAAGTTATAGAATGTTTGTAATGGTTTTTTGTTTTTTTTTATGGTGTAATATCCATAGAAGTGACAGTTATATTCTTTGGTCAAAAGTACAGCTTACTCAAGCAAACACACATACATACATACATACTTACAGACACACACACATACTAAAACAGACATACACACATATAGGCATACATACTGACACACATACTGAGACATACACACATATAGGCATACATACTGACACACATACTGAGACATACACACATATAGGCATACATACTGACACACATACTGAGACATACACACATATAGGCATACATACTGACACACATACTGACACATACTGAGACGTATACATACTGAGTATACATACTGAGTCTAAAGGACTATGACCACTGTGCAACCAGGATCTACCTAATTACCAGATTTTGTTGTCTTTTTTCAAAACGGATGCATTATTTCATACAACAGAAATCAACTCACCTGCTCTGTCAAACATTATATTGAAGTCTATGGACTGTATTGCTAATTAAGCATTTCTTTATTTTATATGTGCTATATTCTTGTTATGCAATTTTGAAACAAGATTACAAACATTCATGCATTTTTATTTCAAAACCTTATTGCTGCCGAAGTCTACCAAAGTTAAATTTCTTTATTTAAATAAATAATATTTTCTTAAAGTGACAGCTTCAAATTTATTTGTTCACCTGCAGTTGAGTTCCAAATACATTTTTCTCGAGAAGTATTACATACACACATCTCATTTTTCAGCCACTCTCCTGTTTCTTACCTTTTCCCTGCAGGAGGGTGGCTCGGGCAGATGGGAGTCTGCGTGGCTCTCCCTCTTCACAGCCTGGTTGTCTCGCCTCCTGCGCGGAGTGAGCTGGGAGAAAGTGATATAAGATATAGGGCCCATCGGGTGCAGGCCCTGATGCAGCTGCACCAGCGGCAGTTCCGCCGCTACATGTAGGCCCTGGACCACCGGGCCCCCCAGGGCCACGGGGCCCGTGACAACCATCATGGTTGTCACCCCTTGATGGCGTCCCTGTTAATCAGGGTCAAACTTGGAAAAAAATGTGTCCCAGGCATTTTTTAATCAGAGAAGGCCCACTTGTAGGGGATTGAGCCAGAGAGGTTGTGTTGTATCATCCCCAATGACAAGCATGTCCCCCAAAGTGAGCATGCAAGTTCAATGCTCAGAACCGTGGAGCCTGGAGGAGGGATTCTCTGCAGCTGGCTTTGGTGCAATTTTTAGCCTTCCTCCTACCATACCCGGCCGATCTCCACCACTAGCCGTGAATAAAAGAAAAATGGGCCAGCAGGGAAGATCCTTTGATCTCCCCTTTCGACCTCGGCCCATGGCCATCGCAACCCCACAGGTATTTGCCCGGTTTGCCTGATTGCCAGTCCGGGTCTGGTATTAACATATTTAGCATATGTACGCATGCGCATTCAGCTAAATAGGAGGAGAAAAGGGAGGAGAGGAGGAGGAGAGCTCCCCGCCCAGCGCTGGAGAAAGAGGTAGGTTTAACCCCTTCCTCCCCCCAGAGCCCGGCGGGAGGTGGACCCTGAGGGTGGGGTCCCCCTCAGGGCACTATAGTGCCAGGAAAATGAGTATGTTTTCCTGGCACTATAGTGGTCCTTTAATGAACTTCATTAATTTCACTTTTTGAGTTTCTGTGAACATGCAAGAGTGAATAGGTTTTGGTATCATTTGTGGACCTTAAGCGCTTATCTCATTTATTGAGCACAATTAGTTGATGCTCTCAGCCAATAAACTGAGAACTGCAGGGATTGCTTTAAGAGAGCTAGCACAAGCTCCTACCAGGTATAGAACAGCACCTGGCAGACCCCACGTTAAAAAGTCAACCGATGACTAAACAGTTTGACTACTTACACAGCGGAGTCTCCAGGGAATGTCTGGCACCATTACCACTCCAGCATGCCGTAGTAAGCAAAATGTACAACAATCCTACTGCAGAAGGTCTAAAAAGGAATACATGTAAATAGATTACCATTCTTCAAACATTATGGTATAAATGTATTGTTTTTATTAAACATACTTTTCAGAAAATTAGAGGAACAGTCTCGAAGTACGTGATGTGCATCATGATTTCCTGCTAATATTGTTGTCCTACATATTTAACTACCGTCTTTATATTATTTTGCTCTGTTCTGCAGATTTTATATTGAACTGATCTTTTATTATATATACGATAAAAGTCCTAAATATTTTATGTGAAGTTCTCAGATCAGGAACTTGGTCCTGGATTATTCCTGTATAGTGATGTCCCGAACTGTTCGCCGAACGGTTCGCGAACGGTTCGCCACAAACGGTTCGCCACGGACTCATCATTGAGTAAACCTTGACCCTGTACCTCACAGTCAGCAGACACATTCCAGCCAATCAGCAGCAGACCCTCCCTCCCAGGCCCTCCCACCTCCTGGACAGCTCACTAAGAATGCAGCTTCACAATAAATGTAAAATGGATGCTGTCCAGGAGGTGGGAGGGTCTGGGAGGGAGGGTCTGCTGCTGATTGGCTGGAATGTGTCTGATGACTGTGAGGTACAGGGTCAAAGTTTACTCAATGATGAGTCCGTGGCGAACCGTTCTCGGCGAACCGTTCGCGAACCGTTCGGCGAACAGTTCAGGACATCACTATTCCTGTATCTATTTCCAATTAATATATATATATATATATTTTTTTTTTTTAAATAGGAATTAACCCAATTGGATTCAATGTAATTCCTCTAACTAATCGCTAGGTGTCACTCTTGTACTAGTTATATTTCTGTTTAGCTCTTTCATTCACCTTAGCCTTTGCCCTGTGACATGGCTTTTTTTTAGCCTTTTGTGAAGTGCATGGAAAAAAATATTAAAGTGAACTATTGCTAATACACTTTTAATTAACATAGAAACTTTAAAACAAATGTTGCATTGATATTTCTTTGAAAATCCAATTTGATCAAAGGTTATATACAAATCAATTCAGGACTACTTTGTCAATATATAACTGTGTAGAAAGGTGTACAAAATCCAATCTGCCATCATTAACTAATAAGCTCTCCCATTGAAGTAAGCCGTCGGTCATTGACTGACCAAGATTCCTGACATCATCTTCTATAGTACATAGAATATGTCTACAGTATCTCTTCATGCTTGTGGAGGATTCTGGGATACCCCACAGATGTCAGCCATTTTGCAGGCTTCTGCAAAAGTCCTGTCTTGTGTATGTACCGGAATCCAATGGTGGCACAGATGGCAAGGGTCAAGATGGCAGCACAAGCTAAAGATGTTTCCAGAGAAAGTCTTTCCCTTCCTTTCTTTTCATAGACTCCAAGATTTGTGGGTTTATTTGTAGAAAATGTGAGAATCTCATTACTGTTATAAAAGTCCATACTAGGGTTAAGCTGGTCATTAACATAAACGCTGGGCCTTGGAATTACATTAGATAGCTATGGTACCCAAGCCCCTACCTTCATATACGTCTCTACCTACTCTTCACACTAATAACAGTGAGGGCGTAATAAAGCTAAAATAAAAAAAAATCATAACCTGTCAAACTGTTAAAAACACCCCTTCTAGTAGGTACTAAGCTCTGCATACCGAGAACATCCCACAAGACTTGCCATTTTAAGAAGTTGCTCTGACCCAGTTGTCTAGCCATCACTATGTGGCCCTTGTCAAACTCACTCAGATCTTCTCGCTTGCCAATTTTCCAGCTTCCAACACATGACATTCAAGAACTGACTGTTCACTTGCTGCTTAATATATCTCACATGTTGATAGCTGCCATTTTAATGATATAATTAATGTTATTCACTTCACCTTTCAGTTGTTTTAATGTCATGGCTGATCAGACATGTTTAATACATATTATTATATTTATTATTTTTGTAATTTATATTTTGCCATTTTGCCACATCTCTCACACACTGGTAAATCGAGTGGAATACCACAATAAATAACTAGTGGGCACCTGTAGACTATGCTAAAGGACGAGGACCTGTCTGTGGTTCTCTCCAAACCCCCTGCTTAATACCCATGGGAAAATAATGTACATTTCAATGTAAACATTTACATGAAAACAAGTGAATCTATTCTGAGGATTTGCTGGCATTTACTCAGTGTCTAATAGATATCCAATGTTGATAAATATGGGAATTCTATACTTTGTATATTTGCAATGTTGAATTGCTGCTTTTAGACCAGACGCTGGATTACTCTAAATGATATATGTTATATCTGCAAAGTAGATTTCTAACAGATTTACCCTTGGTAAAATATCCCAAAAGTAAATCCAGATTTTCTACATCCTGACTGCATTAAAGGTACCCTATAGTCACCAGAACAACTACAGCTTAATGTATTTGTTCTAATGAGTATAATCAGTCCCTGCAGGCTTTTTGCTGTAAAACACAGTCTTTACAGAGAAAAGGCAGTATTTACATTGCCCCCTAGGGACACCTCCTAGTGGCCACGCCTCAGATGGCCACTGAAGGTGCTTCCTGTGGCAGTGCTGCACAGTAGGCAACATTTCCGTTTTCCTCATAGAGTGGCATGGGAAAACATTGGATTGGCAAAAAAAATCATAAATTTTGATGACAGCAAGGAGGAGGATCGGGTGCGGGGGTGAGTTTAAACCCCCTTTAAGGGAGGTTATGGGGCAAGCCACCTAAAAATTGATTTTAATTCTATAGGGTCAGGAAAACATGTTTGTGTTTCTGACCCTATAGTGTTCCTTTTAAGACTACAGAGTAAAAGCTGTTCACAGTGGTAAAAAATAATGTATTTTAATATTTTAAAATAGTCCCTATTTTCTCTGCACGTACCTGGTTATGTATATCATAATTTTATATTATATGTAATAAACATTTGTTTGTAAGGACCAAAATTAGAAACTGAAATTGCCCATCATATACAGATTATGCTGAGTCACCTGTACAAACTATATTTAAATAATTGGCAATGCAGATGTTAACAAAGATTGGTATAACAAGCCGTTTCATTGATCTCAGTTTGGAAATTCCCGATCTTGCAACACATGGAAAATCTGTGTACTAAATAGAAAGTTTATCATTGGATTCTTAAGGAAACAAATGTTTTTATTTTTTTACTGTTATATTGTTTTTATTCTTTTGAAAGGAATTTATCACTTAAAGTTTAGAAGTGTATGTGGAGCATAAAAAAAACCCGGCACAACAGAAAAATTTACATTTACACTCAAAGCCCTAATGACATCACAAGAGGCTAATAGGGATATTTACTAAAACGAGAATTCTATGTTTTGAATTCAAGGCAAAATAGCAGAAATAGAAACATTCTCTAATTCAGAGATGTTTCCAGTTCGGCTACTTTAACCTTAAATTTGAAATTCACTTTGAATTCTCACTTTAGCTAATAACCTTGTAAGTTTCTGAGACAATTGACATTTGTCACTGCACTGTGAAGTGAGCTAGTTATTTAGGCTAAAGCTGAGATGATAAACTGTACAGTACACCTCATTTTCCAGTTCAGCAAATGTATTTATTGCCACATCTCACTGTTTAGTAAATACGTACCTTGATATTATTGTCTAGATTTTCGGCATAGTTCGTGCTTTTGCATAAATGTTTTTACACTGGTGGATTTTGTCACTAAATGCCTCTAAAATTATGCTTCTGCGGTTTATGAATAAACAAAAATTTAAGTGAAATCTGATCTGTAAAAATAAAAATCTCCAAATCAGCTATAGTTATAGTTTGACTATTTAGTCTGACTGTTACAATTCCGTTTTCCACTTAAACATTTACTTTCCAAAACCTGCTATTTTCTTTTTTTTAAATGTAGCTTGATTTTGACCATATTTAACTCAAGATGCAACCAATCTCTACAGACATGCTCAGCCCATCACTGCTGTCCAAGTGTGGATAGAATTGTTATAGTTAATGTGGAAGTGGAAATTCTGCTTTAGCATTTATTAAGTAATAATCAAACATGGGGACAGACAGCTGGTACATTGGGAGCCATGATTTTGGTCAGATTGCTCGAAAACCGTTTTAGCAATAACCAGGAGATTGCACGGAATCTCTAACAGCACCATAAACGCCACAGTGGCATGCAGTGGTTTTGGTATTTATGGTTGCCCTTTAATTGTGGTCTAATCGAACACATTCTCACAATCTCTCTGTTTCTACCCTGCTCTAATGTTCCAATGTCCATGGCCATTTCCTTAAGTATTCCCAGTTTTCCTTATAGCAGTCGTACCTGCTGTTTCCCGGTTTTAGCTGCAGTGTCCCTTTAAGATATGATCTACCTGTTCTTTTAACCTGTGCTGTCAGTCTTCCTAACATGCCAGGCAGTATATACTGAGCATTGCCTAGCACCCTTATTTCCTATGTCCAAATTGTACCTCCATGCTGCTCAGCAACAGGTGACATAGACACAATAGGCCTTCACTGGAGGAGCAGCTATTTAATGGTATTGACCTGTAGATTTACCCTGTGTTCACCTTTCAATCCCAGAAAAATTATATCAGAACAAGTTACGGTACTTTCTCTGCTTATACCAGTCACTCTCACAACAGAGAATCCTATGGAGATAGATTGTAAAAATGAAAAGACTAGAGTCTCAAAAAATGAGACTCAGAACTGGTTTTAAACAGAGTACAGGAATTACTTAATATATATTATGACTCAAGAATTCAGCACTGAGTACTGGTAGTGAAAATTCTCCATATAATGAATCGCAAGCTGATTCCAAAGGGTGCCAAGAGAAATAAAAAATACTTTACTACTGATTTCCTCTCGTAAAACAAGCAGGCGTGTTTATTACATAATCACATCTTTTTGTTTCTTGAAATGATTGGGACTTCTGTAATCAAATCCTGCCCCATTTTTGTGCTAATTACTCACTTTCCTTTAAAGCTACCTCTAAAGTCACCCAGACCACTTCATGGGTTCAGTGGCCCTCTCCTTTTAATCCTGGAATGTAAACATTGAAACTCTTTATAAACTACAAAGTTTATATTGCATGGTTAAGCCTGCCCCTAGTGGTTGCCATACTGACTGGAGGCACTGCCACTGCAATAGCCTAGTAAAATGCAGTTACATCAGCCAGAAGCCAATAGGAATACAATGCTCTGCTATGAGGAAGCCTGAATACACGGGCGGCACTCTCCACACCTACGCATCACCACACATGTATTCCTCTATGAGGAGCATTGGATTGGACCATTGTGGAAGAGTCCATGCCTCCTCGATGACATTGCGGAAGCCATAGAGTTGAGCAGACTCGCCACTGCACAAAGATAGAAACCTTTTAATTTATTATTTTTTATTATAAACAGGGGGGAGGGTACCCCTGTATATACCTAGGGAAAACAGGTTTGTATTCCAAACACTATGGTGTTTCTTTAATGTTAATTATGTGACAGATTACTTTAAAGGACCGCTATAGTGCCAGGAAAACATACTCGTTTTCCTGGCACTATAGTGCCCTGAGGGTGCCCCCACCCTCAGGGACCCCCTCCCGCCCTGCTCTGGAAAGGGGAAAGGGGTTAAATGTTACCTTTTTCCAGCGCTGGGCGGGGAGCTCTCCTCCTCCGATCCTCCTCCATTCCTCCCATTCGGCTGAATGCGCACGCACGACAAGAGCTGCGCGCGCATTCAGCCGGTCGCATAGGAAAGCATTTGCAATGCTTTCCTATGGACGCTTGCATGCTCTCACTGTGATTTTCTCTGAAACTGCTATGTTTATTAAAAAAATGGGTTAACCCTAGCTGGACCTGGCACCCAGACCAATTTATTAAGCTGAAGTGGTCTGGGTGCCTAGAGTGGTCCTTTAATCAAAAGTTGAATTATTTTGTCCAATACATTTCTTGATATGGATATAATTTAAATGACAGTAAAAATCCCAGAAAAGCTGTTCAGTTGTTTAAATATTCTGTCCTTCAGGGACCACCTAGTGAAGTCAGATCTAGACATCTGTTTGATCAGCAGTCTCATGTTATTACTTCCTAAATCCGAGGTGGCTCCTGACACTGTTACTCCTTTACTTCTTCTTGACTTAATTTTTTTATTATGAGAGGATAGATAGATAGATACATAGATAGATAGTACAAACAAGGCTCCTGTGAATGGTGTATAGTTTTGCCTATTTTTTTTTCCAGTTCACTTAATCACACCCGAAGATAGAATAGGAGCAATACTCCGACGACCCTAGACAGATGCCACTACTTCCAGGTTAAATCATATTATACCTCCCAATTTGGAAGACACCTCTTCCACAGTACTCTGACGGAGTTTGAAGAACTGTGCAAGGCACGGGTACACCTAGATAGGGGGATCTCGGTCCTGTACACGCGGCTCCATACCTCAGACCGACATGAAGAGTGTAACACATAGCTCGTCGGGAAAGAACCACGGGCGTTGTGCTCTCCGATCCTCAGTGGTCGAAAATCCACATCCTGACCCATCAGAGCTCCATGTGCCTCAAACAACAGGAATTCAACTACAAACTGTTGATTGGATGGTAAAGAATGCCAGAGAGAATATATTGTATGATGCCTGAGGCTCCTGACACTTGCTGGAGATGTGAGGAACAGGTGGGCTTGGATCTCCACATCTGGTGGTCCTGCAGCAAAATAACCCCTTTCTGGAATGCCGTACACGCAACAATCAAAGATATACCAGACTGAGACCTCCCATTCCAACCGCTACAGATGCTCCTTCACCACACCACAATGCCTATATTGAGGTATAAAAAGTAATTAACCAGGCATCTTCTCAATGCAGCAAAACTACTAAACCCAACTAGATGGCGTTTGACCGAGGTACCTGTGACAAACTCCCCTTCCCACGTGAGTTTGCCACAAGCTCCTGGAGGAGCCTGTTTGCCAGCCTCCTGCCCACAGACTATGGGCCCTGCAGGGAAACCTGTAAAAGAGGAGTTAACTGGCAGTGGCTTGGCATGGACCACCCGAGAGCTTTTTAAACCTAATTGACAGTTTGTAACACGTTCAACCGCAGTGTTCTAATTGTTCATCTGGGTGGCCGCTGTTTGCATGAACAACCACTAGGTGGCAGCCATCTTGTTTGCATGAACGCAGGCAGTGGTGTTTGGTTGTCGAGTTCATGGAACTGAAATTGGACACAGAAACTCCCGAACACCGCTGGACTTCCAGCATTGCCTGCGTTCGGTTCTATACTACTTAGAAGGGCACTGTTCAGTGGAAACATTCCCACTAACATGATGAACAAGCTCAAGTGTTAGACTATTGAAGATGTTTGGTAGTTTGTTCATTTTTAAACTACCGAACTAGACCGACCACTAGACATGATTTCATGGAACTGTTTTGGGCATAGGACCATGTGCTCGGTCGGTACAAATTATGACTTCCATGGAAATCCCAAACCCCTGAACCAATCTGGGTGAATTTTGGATATGTAGGTCAAACATTCAGGTTTGTGTGCTGGGGTAATTCTCTCTCACCAACAGGGGAGGAGTATGTTAGATGTATGCTTGTAACTGGTCTCCTCTCAGGTCCAGGGGGAGGGATTATCCTGTTTTGTGTGGGAGAGTTATGGGCGTGTTTGACTGTGTGTAAATTGTATAAAAGCAGGCCATCTGGCCAGATTAAAGCATTCCAGCTTGTACTCCCAGAACTGTGATGTGTGTTGTCTGGTTACTGGGAGGGAAAGGGCTAATCACTACTCCAGCTTGTTCCTGAGTGGAGGATTCAACCGGGAAAGTCCTTGTAAGGATTAGAGCTCCCAGGACTGAGTGTCGTCCAGTGCTCAGGGGTGGATAGAGCGAGTTCCCCATTTGGCTCGAAGAGGGAATGATTGCAGGACCCCAGTCAAGCCTGAGCGACTTTGGGCAGAGGTGCTGTGGTTTGTCCCCTGTTCCAGCTAGGAAGCGGCCCTTGGCAGAGGTACCCAGCCGGGGTACAGGGAGCTCCGTTACAATTATGCATATACCGAAGGTGGCGATCCCACCTAAGCTATTATTATGAGTCCCTTGATATGTTGAACAATGGGTGGAGTGTGAATATCTATGTATTGTTGTCCGAGATGTCCTATTGCAAATATGTCTCTTGAAGCTGACCTATAGACCTTCATTGCTTATTGTATGACTACTGCGTAAGATGAAAATTAAAGATTGTCAAAAAAAGAATAGGTGAAATAAATGATCCAGTTACAGCTTCGCAATATTTGAATATTTATTTATATATATTTTGGTGTGGGGGTCTGAAATTAGTTAAAGGGACTCTCCGTTGCCCAAATACAAAATAAATTAAAAAAAAATAGGCATGCATTTAATTCTGCTTTTTCATACAGGGTGTATCCTGCAGATCTCTTGTCTGTTGCCTTTGCAAGCCCTCCCCTTCTAACCCTACCCAGACATTCAGTGGTGGTCCAATCACAGACTTCTCACTGAAGCTCAATGAGAAGTCTTTACAAGGCAAGTGCTCTGAGCAATTGCTGCCTCTTAAAGGGACACTCCAGTGCCAAGAAAACAATCCGTTTTCCAAGCACTGCAGGTCCCCTCTCCCTTCTACCTCCCATCCCCGGTTGCTCAAAGGGTCAAAACCCTCGGCGCTGCTTCTTGGCCCACGCTCCTTCCCATCACCACGTCAGCCGGCGGGGGAGACTGATCACGCCCGCCGGCAGGGGATACCTAATGCGCATGCGCGGCAATGCTTTCCTATGGGGATTTTAGTGACATAGCGTGAGGACGTCCAGCGACACTATAGCACAGAAAATCTGTGCTATAATCCTGGAAGTGCCCTCTAGTGGCTGTCTAGTAGGCTGTCTAGTAGACAGCCACTAGACAGGCACTGGAGGAGGAGTTAACCCTACAAGGTAATTATTGCAGTTTATAAAAACTGCAATAATTACAGTTGCAGGGTTAAGGGTAGTGGGAGTTGGCACCCAGACCACTCCAATGGGCAGACGTGGTCTGGGTGCCTGGAGTGTCCATTTAAATTTAGCTCCACTGAGTTACCCAAACCAGGAAGTAACAGACAAAACCTGTTGTCTGCTTGAAAGTCAGGAGGGTGTAGCCAGGTTAATTCATAAACATGTACATTTCTAGTGAAATCTGCATTTATTGCAAAATAAAAAAAATAGGACAAACTCTTCCTACTTAAAACTTTTCAGAAAGCTAAAGTGGTTCATGGGACTTGAGTGTTCTTTAAACTAAGTCTAAGGAAAGTCGTTGGAAAGTTTAACAACTGAAAGAGTAGCCTATTACTTGAATTTGTTGCCTGTTTTCTGTTTGTTTTTTGTGGAGGGAGGGGGATTTGCATTTGCATTCACTTCTTGTTGCAAAAAAAATAAAACCAGTAGATCCATAACTTTTTTATCAGCTAATGTTATTTTGTATAAAATATGTATCGACTGCTATTCACAGCAGCAGCACTGAGTGACCGAAATAATTAGTATTTCTTGCACCCAGATACAACTGCTATAGCCGTATAAACCAAATAAACCTACTGTATACCTATACTAAATGCCTCCTGGACTGTAAGTGCTAAACACACCGACTAGTGCTATATAAATAAAATATACATGCAATATCCCCTACACTGCAATGGAATCTGTTTAATATAGCTATTAGCGCTATTCAAAATATACCCGCTAACATTGTATGCTTACTGTGCTTACCAAGTCCCATGTGTACTACAAGTAATAATTACATCTGCTAGCGTTTTAGAATGATCAAATATATAAAAATGGACATCCATATACTGCACTTTTGGAATCTACAGTTCTTAATCAATATCCCCTGAATCCTGCTAAACACTAGACATGTGCATGGTTGAAAAATTTGGTTCGAAATAGGCCAATCAGGGAGCTACAAAATATAAGTAATATGTGTATATATTGCTGTACAATGATAGGTGCGTTTTTGTTCCAATTGGCTCACATATCAAGTGAGAAAAGTAACCAATAGAGGGGAGCGCAGGGGGGGAGGTAATAAACATATTTTTGTTTTATATCTTTGTTAAATATATAATATAGAAATGTAGAATTGTTTTAACTGTTCATCTTTTTCCTGCTCTGTTAGTCACTTTTCACTTGATCTGTGAATAAAATCCACATTCAGTGACTGTACCCTAGCCCTCCATCATAATTTTAACAATCAATCATCTTTTTTTTTTTGTTGTTGACGGAAGCCCTGAGTAAACCAAACTGGCTTATTTATTGCCCTATTCAGTTGTTTATTAACTTGTTCATACAGCAGCTCGGTGTTACGTAATTCAGACTTCCTGGCTATCGGCACAAATTCAGTCGAATTCCAGTTCAGAATGTCCTTACTGCACATGTCTTCTAAACACATCTGTTTGTGCTAAATAAATCAAATATACATAAGCTGTACACCTACAGATCATACAGATTTACGCAATCTGTAAAGTGCCAAGTACAACTGTCTGTTCTAAATAAATAAATTATACATAAACTGTACACCTACAAGTCGTACCGATTTCCTTTTCACCGTAACACAATCTGTAAAGTGCCAAGTACAGCTGTTTGTACTATATAAATTAAATGTACAAACATAGTGTATTTACTGACTCACCCATCTACTGTCAAGTGCTAAGTATACGTTATTGTAGTATATGTAACATATGGACATACATTGTATACCTACTGCTTGTATTGTATGACCTATATACTGTATAGTAGTATGTGACGTGCTGAGTACACCTGATAGTGCTATATAAATAAAGTATACATAAACCATTACGATGCATAGATTAGTTCTTCTTTCTAAAGAACAGGTAAGAAATTAGGAAGAGGAGGAGTACAGAGGAAAAGGGAGTTGAGACAAAGTGACCTGCCACACCAAAGAGGAGGAGCACTCGGACGGATAAAAGGGAGAAAGGAAATAGAGTTTCCTTTAGGTCTCAGTCTACATTTATCCACTCACACAGCTCTTGACGTTTTCAACAATTGCAACACAAACTCACACATTTTGCACTCCATAGTCTGACTATTCAACTCTTATCTTGAGCGCATTGGAGAAGCAAAGCATGTGTTGTTATATATTGCTTTACTGAGACAGTAAAGGGTTAATAGTTAACTCATTGAAGGTCCCAAGGGGGCACATCCCATTACCAAGATCACCAGTGTTTGATAGCTGCCAGTAGAATCAGAGAATAATTGAATCTTGCTTGGATTTGTAATATAATTTGTTTTATGGACCTCTCAGCCCATCAACTTTACTGTCACATAGGCAGAAATGCCCAGCAATAATCAAGCCCAGACTGAGAGTCTAATGAATCACAGACTGTTTGCAATCATTTATGTCTTCTAATATTAATTAGTGGGAATGGGGAGGCAGGTGAGATATATCAGTTTATTAATGTTTGTTTATATTATAGTGGCTAGGGAGTAGGAATGGATGTTTATATACTTATAACCCTGATGTTGTCACTCGTAGAAATGCGGTAGTGTGCCCGCATTCGTAAGAATGCAACATCACACTGCATGTAACAATTAAGTGTACATTATTGTATATTTTGGCATAGTCTTTATCACAATTTTTTGGCCATTAGTCCAAAACAGGGCAGATTGGCAATATAGTAACAAGGAAGTCTTGTGTTCAATCTCCTTATTAAATTTCCCTTTAATTATTCTTCTTTGTGGCCATGTGTGTTCACAGTACATTACATTAGGGTGTGCGACCAGAGAAAAATAACATCTAAAAAAACTTACAAAATATTCAATTAAAAAATAAAAACATGAAAGTGACACATTTCTGATTTAGTTATATGTGTGTATACAAGGATATTCATGTGGTTATTTTTCTTCAAAATCATAAGAAGAAAACCCAAATTCTTGCCATACTTTCCAAAGAGACCAAAACAGGGGACGGGCGGTGGGAAGGGGTAATTTGGCACTTCTGAAACACGTAGTAGTGGCATATTACATGATGGCTGCATTATTTGTAAATTGAAATTATGAGCCTCACATTGCACTGAATTACACACAGATGTTTACATGATTTAATGGACTAGGTGTCATCACATCACCCATCACTTTTGGAATTTTAAAACATGATTTACATGTTTAACTAAATGCTAAATACTATAGACAGAACCCATATTTTATCAGCAAATGATAACATTTAATGATTTACTTTTTTTTTTACTTATCTGTTATTACCTTATTGAAAATATCTGAGCTGGGTACATTTCACATGCCTTGACTAAAGAGTAAACTAAAGAGTAGATTTGATTCAAAACTCAAAGCAAAATAATTCTGAATTTTTTTTGGCATAGTGAGTTCGGACAGTCAAAATACTGTGACGTTTATTAAAGTCGCTAAAAAAAAACACAGCGTGCAAAAATTATGATATGTTTAGAAAATGCCAAATTAAGATATTGTTTAGTCTAGCTATCATATCATATCTATTCTATTTCTGGGCTGGCTTATGACAAATCAATGAACTTCTTAGACAGCAGAGGGGTTAAACTCTGAATGGGCAGTATTTCACAGTGAAACACTGCACATAAAGATTCCAGGCACAATGGCCACTTCAAATTTCTGAAGTGGTTATGGTGCATCCCATTAAAGGGACTCTATGGGCACGCAAACCACTTAATCTCATTGAAGTGGTTTGGGTGGAGTGTCCCTGTCCCCTTAAACCTACAACTGTAATTATTGCAGTTATTGAGAAACTGCAATGATTACCTTGCAGGGCTAACTCCACCTCTAGTGGACAGACACAAGAGGTGCTTCCAGGTCTTTAGCGGACTTTTGGTCCAATAAATAATGCTGGACATCCTCACGCTCTGCATCAGGACATCGAGCATCAGCTGAAACCCCACAGGGCCGCAAGAGAGGGAGGTAACAATGTGGCACAATAATGCTAGGCATACATCTTTGTATTCCTAGCACAATAGTTTCCCTTTAATACCAAAGAGTGATAGGCCCACTTTATTCTAATTACATTTTTTGTAAATCTCCATCCGTTCTGCAGGATAGTGTAATGTAGCAGATTATAAAAAAGATGTAAAGGATACATTACATAAAACATATAACTTTACATATATATAGATGCAAAAACAGATAAAATTCATATCTTGTAAGATATTACAAGATACGAATTGTATCTGTTTTTCACATCTACATCACTGGACTAATTCGGCTGCAATCTCTACTTGAAAAGTGGGGTGGGCGGAATTCCCCAATACTTTTCATTAAAAGAACACTATAGCGTTAGGAATAAAAACCTGTGTCATTGTCCTTCGTGGTGATGTACATATCAAATTATCCTCAAAGAGCGCGCATGCATTCAAGTTCCACCTAGGAAAGCATTGAATCAGTGCTTTTTTTATGGGGTCTTCTGCATTACGTGGCCAAGTCAGTGCAATGGGAGCACTTTCCATAAAAGAACGCAATGTTTTACATTGCAGGGTTAACAGGACGAAGACACTGGTGCACCCACACTGCTTCATTGAGAGATGACATGGTCTGGGTGACAATAATGTCCCTTTAACTCTATGAATGCGATTACAATGTTTTTGAGGTTTTTTTATTGTTGATTGTAATATTTGTTAAAAACAGAACGTGGTCTCATATTCAGTAGTAGTTATAGTTAATCAGATGTGTTAACACCTTTCCATTCCATTATCTTGAGATAAATCTGGTAAAATGTGTGTAGTATCAATAGATGCTATAAACTTTTGGAGGAATGTCACAGTGGGAAATGCTTCTGATACTTTGGGAAATATAACAATAGAATAAATGTCCACTAAACACAGCAGAACGAGAGTGCAGTAGGGGTTTGGTACATCAAAGGCCATTCACAGCTCAGCTTGACAAGAGATATCCTAAAATTGTTATTTTCTCTCTGCTTGGGGGAAGCCATAAATTCCACAAGGTTATTACATTATTCTCCTGGTGGACCAGGGTAATCACCAAACATTTTATTACCATACAATCACACCCACATCAACAAAAGGTCTTTCATACAGAGACAAGCAAGAAGTGGTCAAAAGACCGTAGTCTGTGTTTATTGTTTTGGTTTTTTTTTTAAAAACATTGTTATAGGTGGAAAATGTGTAAAAAAAAATATGTTGAAATGTATAATAAATTGACTTTTTAATTTAATTATCTTCTCTTTACTCCAGGAAAGGAAGGGATTCTTCGATGTCACCCTGACTTGGCCGGCAGAGAGTTGATGAGTGGAACTTTGACACCAGAGTCTTTGAATGAACAGAATCAAGCGGGCCTCACTTCCCTTAGCCAAACGGATAGAGAGGCCCTGAATGTTCTAAACTCTCAGTACAAAACTAAATTTGTCTTTCCCTTTGTTATATGTGCTAAAATGTCTGATAAAAGTCAAATAATAGAAGAACTGAAGTCTCGACTCCAAAATAATAGAGATGAAGAACTTGGGATTGGCATTGCAGAGGTTAAGAAGATTTGTCATCTCAGATTGCAAGACATATTCCTGAAAGTCATACCCACAAAACTGTGACTAAATTGAGCTGTAATGTTACATTATGTGCATTTACTGTTACTATTGCGTTTCATTATCATTGCTTGACTAAAACAGCTGAAATAAATGTGTGTGTTGGTAAATAACGAAAACAGTTTAGAAACAAGTGCCGTAGTAAGTGCAATAATTAATATGTAATACTTAAATTGTAAAGGTAAATCAAGTTTTCCTGGTTTACGTATTTAAAGTAATAACACATAATAAATTTTTTCCAAAACCGCAGCCATTTTCCTCCGTCCATTTATTTTACTCTGGTTTCTTCATGTCTTTCCAACAATGAACCCAGTAGCACATTGGTGGCCAGTATTGCACACATTACACGGGCACGTTTAACACTTTACTGATTATATACAGGAAAACGTAGAGCTGGGTTAGTCTCAAAACGTTAAGGATGAACCCATTCAACATTTTAGATGACGTTTGAAAAGCTGAATTCTGCAAGCAACACTAGACAAGCTTTGTATGTGTAAAATGGCAATTTTAATACATCATTTTACATATCTGCTATTCTAGCTTGACAGTGTGTTGCACTTGTGCACACTTAACAGGGCACTATAGGCACCAAAACAACTTTAGCTTAATGATGCAGTATTGGTGTATACATCATGCCCCTACAATCTAACTGCTCAATTCTCTGCCATTTAAAGGGACACTACAGTCACCATTACAACTACAGATTAATGTAGTTGTGGTGTTTATAGTCTGTCCCTGCAGGCATTTCATTGTAAACACTGTCTTTTTAGAAAAAAAAAAGGCAATGTTTACGTTACAGCGTGCAGCACTGATTTTAAACATCTCCACATTCTTCATGGGGGCAGTGAACTTTCTCTGAAGAGATGAATTAAATCAATGCATCTCTATAAGAAGATGCTAATTGGAGCAGTGCAGCATGTTGCCGAGCATGATCGATAGCCTCCCGATGCTTTATTATGGGAACCATTGGTTCTCAGTCAAAGGGGCATGGTGTGGGCAGGGGCAGTCATGACCAGTGAGTAAATCACCCTTTTAACCAGAGGTAAAGGGGGCCTCAGGACCCAAACAGCTTTTTAGACCTATTTGTATTCCTGACAATATACTGTTCCTTTAAGAGTTTGTTTTCTTTATACAACCATAGCCACACCACCCTGCATGTGACTGGCACAGCCTTCCTAAACACTTCCTTTAAAGAGATCTAATGTTTCAACTTCCTTTATTGCAAATTATGTTTAATTTAGAATTTCTTATCTCCTGCTCTGTTAATAGCATATAGAAGCATCCTGTGTGTGAATATTTGCAGAGCAGGAGGTTTAAAAAAAAAAAAAATCATCTTATAAAACAACTTAATGATGGATAATGAAACCATTTTTTTAAATGCAGTCTGTGTCAGTCTGTTTATGTGGCTAAGGTTGGATAAACAGAAACAAAAGTAATTTAACTCCTAAATGACAGAGGATTGAGCAGTGAGACCACAGGGGCATGATCTATACTAATTTCAATATTTAAAGGGACACTATAGTCACCTGAACAACTTTAGCTTAATGAAGCAGTTTTGGTGTATAGAACATGCCCCTGCAGCCTCACTGCTCAATCCTCTGCCATTTAGGAGTTAAATCCCCTTGTTTATGAACCATAGTCACACCTCCCTGCATGTGACTTGCACAGCCTTTCATAAACACTTCCTGTAAAGAGAGCCCTATTTAGGCTTTCTTTATTGTAAGTTCTGTTTAATTAAGATTTTCTTATCCTCTGCTATGTTAATAGCTTGCTAGACCCTGCAAGAGCCTCCTGTATGTGATTAAAGTTCAATTTAGAGATTGAGATACAATTATTTAAGGTAAATTACATCTGTTTGAAAGTGAAACCAGTTTTCTTTTTTTCACGCAGGCTCTGTCAATCATAGCCAGGGGAGGTGTGGCTAGGGCTGCATAAACAGAAACAAAGTGATTTAACTCCTAAATGACAGTGAATTGGGTAGTGAAATTGCAGGGGAATGATTTATACACTAAAACTGCTTTATTTAGCTAAAGTAATTTAGGTGACTATAGTGTTCCTTTAATTCTCATCTAGTAACTTAGAAAAAGGAAGTGAACATTTTTTGTTTCATTTTGCTTCATAATTACTGGGGTTTAAGCTGTGTTTCATTTGAATATACAGTTTAGGAAACAAACTATTATCTTTATCAAGCATATGAACTAATAGTTCCATTGCAATGGAAAAGATGTGTCTTGCTTCCGAACTGTGTACAGTTTGCACTTGTAGCTCCTTAGTTGCAGAACTATGATTCTACCAATGAACATAATATGGAAACTAAAACCTAAGCTGTGAACAATTACTCATCTCGCGTCCAGCAATGCTAATTTAACACATTCATTTACAACACAGCAACATTTATATTAACGGAAAGAATATGTTCAGAAAAAAAGCTAAATAACTACAGCTCCAGATGCAACCAAGGGATTTTTTTCTTGCCATATTTACAGAGTAATAATTCCAAATACCATCTCCCAAAACGTATCAAGTAATAATGTACTGTACTAGTTTGAAATATTTAATAAGATATCTGAGATGAAATTAAGAGTTTTAAAAATTCAAGATATAATCAATATTTTGGGGTTCGTTTGCTAAATTAAAATTGTGGAAAACTGACAAGAGAACTTAAAACGTTATGGCTAAACTAGCTAATTTTTTAAAAAATGTTCTTTTGGTGACATTTTAGTAACACAAATTGCATTAGATTAGTGCAAGCAATAAGTGTTTGATGAATAATCTTTATGTTATGTTGCTTTATATTTTATAAACAGCGAAAGTGAAAATATAGATAAAAAACTTACAGATTTTTTCCTAAATTTTGTTTTGTCCTAAAATGTAAAATCCATTTTGAATACAGACAATGCACACTTTAATGAATATCCCAGTACATTTCAATGAATAAGACATAGTTATTCAATTAATTATTATTGTTATTCAGTAAACTGGGAATTGTGGAATTCCTGGCACTATAGGTTCCTACAGCGCCCCCTTTCTTTGCGCCCACCCTCCCGTTAAAACTCCTTCAGTCACTTACCAGAATCCAGAGCCGATGTCCCTTGGCGCTGGGTCAAGCTCCGGCCACGCTCTTCCCCCACCGACGTCACCCGTTGGGAGAGACCTAATGCGCATGTGCAGCAATGGCTGTGCTCGCATTAGGATTAATCAATGCTTTTCTATAGGGTTTCCAGTGATGCTCAAAGTCCTCATGCCTAGCATGAGGATGTCCAGCATCATTTAGGCCAGTGTTCCCCAACCCAGTCCTCATGGACAACCAACAGTCCAGGATTTATGTATTTCCCTGTTTTATTCCAATGGAGATACTGACAAAACCTGGATTGTTGGTGGTCCATGAGGACTGGGTTGGGGAACATTGATTTAGGCGACCAAAAGTTGTCTAAGCACCCGGAGGTCCCTCTAGTGGTTGTCTGGTAGACAGCCACTAGATGTGGAGTTAACCCTGAGAGGTAATTATTGCAGTTTCTCAAAAACTGCAATAATTACCACTGTAGGGTTAAGAGACTTGAGACATTGCACCCAGACCACTTCAATAAGCTGAAGTTGTCTGGGTGCCTATAGTGTCCCTTTAAGTGGTATGTAGGGGAACAAAACTGGTGTGGACTGGCTGATAATTAAATTAGTTAAGGTAAAGCTGACTTTGCGTACTATGCAAATGCTCTTGCTGCTTCAGTCTCTCTTACACTGTGGCATGTTCCCTTTCTTCTACACGCTCTACATACACGTTTTCTCTGTCCCAGACTGTATAACAAGAGCTTCTGCCTGCTAGTAAGAACATAAGGAGATGAGTAGACCAGTGAGTGCTAGGGGACAGTCCTTAGAAAGCGTAGAGCTAGCGCATCATTAGACACATTTATGCCATGCACAGTATGCCCATGGTTGGTGATCCTGTATTATTGGCAGGCAGCCTAACGTGCATTCACGCCAGACTGACCATCGAATTCTTTGTGCAGACACACCCCCTTTTGGGCATGTTTGTTACTGCCCACTGAAATCCTACTTCACCGGACACTGATGTTAGGGGGTATGAATTTACTCGAAAGATGAAAGCGAGATTTTAGAATAGGATATGAGTTTTCTGATAGCTATATCTTGTGTGATTCCTCCAGCAACGCCGCATACATGACGCTTTGGATTTATAACTGGTTCAGTGTTTACTGTAGATCATTTTCTATAATTAGGCCCATCATAATTATCAGCGCCAGGCCCAATGGGCTCTTAATCCGGCCCTAGGATAAACCTCACAGTTAGTAAGACCCATGTCAATGAAAATGATAAAGTGAACACACTTCAGAGTAAAACTATAAAAATGGCAGAAATATTCACACAACAGAAGCTAAAGTTCACTTGTAACACTGAATGAGTTATCAAGATTTATTCACTAAAAAGGCCTAGATTTTTTAATTTTTATTGGCAAAAACAGATGATATCGACAGTTTTCAGTCACTTTATCTTTTAATCAAATTTTATCTGGATATAAAGACAGATGAAATCCAAGCAGCCAAATCCAATAAATAGATCGGCTGCTCGAAATAAAGGCCACAATAAATATGCATTGAAAGGACATTTATCAGGTTTTTTAATGACTAACCTTGCTAAAAATAAAATGCTTTTGGAAGTCAATATGACCCCCATATTAGTATATTAGAGGTGTAACACCTCCTTTATGCCCTTATCTGCCATGCCGTGAATGGGAATTGTCTGCTAAACAGTGAGCGGCCAGTGGCTTCTCACTGTATTAAAAGTAATAGTGACTGGACAGCTATAATTAAAATAAAGGGGGGTCCAGTGCTCCCCCCAACCCTGACCCATTGGAGGTAGGTGGGGGATATAATTATATAATAACCAGGGAGGGGCCCCAACCATTCTCCAAATTCTGGACAGTTCCACACTCCCCCGCCCCCCTCCTGACATTGAGGTGGTTAGAGAACCACAAACCCCTATCCACCATTCCAAAATAAAACAATCTGCTTAATCCCTCCCCTTACAAATAATGAGGAAGGCCCAATAAATCCAATAACTGTAAAAAAGAATGTGTACTTAAAATCATCTTCTTTTTCACCCCACTAAAAGGCCAAATAAAAGTTCACTAATTCACGATGCTGTTATCAAAAATAAAAAATAAAACTGATTCACTAGAAAAGCAACAAAGAAAATATGCAGTGCAAACAAAATTAATCTCCGTGATCCCATGGAGGACTCATCCCATGCACAATGAGTCTCTTGAAAATATCATTATAATAATTTTTGTATTAACATATATATTTTCAGCCCTCACCCGATGCCCACCTGTGGGGCATGGAGGGAACTTCTTATTAGTGACTAGGCTGCCATTAGTGACATGCTTCCACCTGTGGCATGGCAGGTGGGGGCATAAAGGAGGTTTACATCCTTCCTTGTACTAATGTGCGAGTCATTTTGACCCACAAATTCTTTGTTTAACCATTTATGCAGGAAAATAGTAAAAGAAAGGCATAGATCAACCTCTATTAAGTGTCGAATTTGAGGCCGGCGGTGACAATGTTCCCAATAAACAGCAGCGAATCACGGAAGCCAACATTTTCAACATAAAATATAGGTATCGTTTCAATGTTGAACCAATATTTATTAGTTCCCGATAAGCCTTTAATGGAAGTAAGTGGGGTAATCAATCCAAAACATAAACTGACTTCTTGAGACAAACTGAAGATAAATTCTAGTTTAATCGAGTTCTAAGTAGGAACTATGAGTTTTTGCCAAATCATCTATTTAAAAATTTGGTTTTCAATTATTATTTTTTTCTACAATATTTTCAATATACATTCCAGAGATTACACCACTAACTTGAACTATGTTTGCAGACAATTTTGTAATGTTACCAATCAGTGCTAGAATTAACTTATCATGTCAATATTATACTTTGGATTTTTTTTTTGCTTGCTTCAAGAGCTAAAACATTTTTATGTTTAATGTGCATAACATCTTGTGAAGGGTATCAGTTTATAATCATCAGACGTAGAGTATTATAAATTCTTTACTGGTCACTAATCAATGAACTGCACCAAAGACTTTTATAGTAAGAGATATTGAGCGTCATTCATTGTCACATCAATGACTGAAAAACTGAAATATTTAAAAGAAAAGTTACAGTTGGTAAGTTAATCATTACCAGTAATTATTCTATCCATGGCAATACTTGTTTTAAAATCTAATATATATTTACAAATAGTTTTTATATTTACAATATCAATGTGACTTTTAATCAGTCTCGCGCTCTGGGTTTTAAATGAATGATGGGAATCTGAAATAATCATGCTGATGCCATTTACATCAGGAGGAGTGTAACAATGCAATAATATTGTTAATAAGGGTGCACGCCATTACTCTACAGAGTAAATCAGTGTACTCCGCACTGCGGTCAAGCACCATTACAACATTGGGGTTCAATGGCTCTTATAAAAGCAACACCATTATATTCCAACTCACATGACAAGTGATATTTAAGTATTCCATTTTGACAATATAATGTGTAGTTACTGTAAGCTCGTTTGAGCAGAACCATCTTCAACCCATCGTTTCTGTAAGTTTTCTTGTAATTGTCCTATTTATAGTTAAATCCCCCCTCTAATAATATCGTAAAGTGCTACAGAATCTGTTGGCGCTATGCAAATGGCGATAATAATAATAATAATAGTTACAATAAAATAAATCAATTTTATAGATAGAGCTAGCTGTGAAGTGGTTACTAGGAACACAGGAAGATGTTTTCAGATCCTCAATAGCTCTTTCAAGGAGGCCTACCACATACAGTTTCTATTGCTAAGTGTCAATCTTCATTGAGATCAAATGAACAGTATGATAAGCCTTGAATTACAGTACTGATCTTTAAAGGAAGTTAATATACTAACGGGCTGCTCCCAGTGTTATGAATGAGTATCCAGGAAGGTCCATCTATACTCTGGTGGAAGCAGATACTTTAATTACAGCTGTAGTAGTTTGTTACTTAGTAATTTGCCTAGTGGAAATTAGCACAGTTCCTGTCTCAAAGGTGTTTGTTAGATTGATCAGATTTCTACTTCTAAAACCTGTAATCTGAGCTACATCTCTCAGAAAGCATTGAGGTGCTTTCCGATGACGTGTTATTGGACACTACGGGTGAAATGGTGGAACAAAAATAAATGTCCCTTGCACGGAATAGAATGTTAAAGAACACATTATAATGTGAATGCGGTGCAGTGATTATTGTGTCAGAAGGGTCCCAGCACTGTTCCTCTGCATACAGACAAACCGTTTTCAACACTTGGCCTTGTCCAGGTGCCCGGGCTACTTTGGGTCTTCTCTAGCAGGAAAACCAGATGAAGATATAGGAGTTCATTCATTGGCTGAGAATATCACCAAAACCCTCTCAGCCTGTAAATGAGTTCAATGAATTCCTATCTAGAACAAAATTAACATTCAGTTTCTCCTGCTTGAGAGAAGCTATGCAAAGGATTATTATATAAAATGGGTTATGAGGTGACAGTTGTCCTTAATAGAAACATAAAGGCTTACCACTGTGGATAAAGGCTTGTTACTAAATATTTCATCAAGTTTGTTTTTAATTTCTTACATTTAGATTAGCATTGTTCTCCATGCAAATAGCAATATGAACTTATCATGGAGATATAAGTTTGGCATATTATTTAATTCAAACTTAATCTTTGTTCTCAATTCCTAAGTAAGTACCTGTCATGATATGACCATCAAATTTTAAATTTTCAGTATTTTGGACAAAACAAGAATAAGAGGAAAATAATTTTGTCCTCACATACATCTCTAATGTATTGTCTGGTGGAATTATCAGTGAATTTTGGTGGGATTCTGCAGTTTGGAAACAGTCGCTGTGCTCCAATGTTACCAAAGGCCATATTGGTGAGTAATGGCTTGTCGATAAAACTTGCCTTGAGATTAAATGCCTAACCGCAAGAAACACGTTAGGATATCCTCCTGGGATATGCTTTTTTTGTATTTTGCACTGTCTGCTATGTCCCTTATTTTTTTTAATAAAAAGTACGTTTTATTTAAGTACGTATTTTATGTATTTTGCACTGTCTGCTATGTCCCTTATTTTTCCATGGATCGTGTCTGTGATTCTTTTATAAGACCTTGCTTTTGATGCTCCACTATCACCTTACTGGTGAGCATTTTTGAAGTGAGCTTGGTTGGGCTCCGGGGCGAATTCCGGATTCCTTTTTTTTTTTGTGCTTGTCAATAAAATTTTCCAAAAACATTGAAAATGAGCCCATGGAATTTGTGACTACAGTTATTTCTGCTATACTATTACTAGCACCCCCATTACTTTAACACAAGAGGGAAAATATTATTCCATACATTAAAAGGATGCTGTGAGTTATTCTAAACCGGAGAAATATTGTTTAACCAATCTTTTCTGTGCCATCTTAATTCTTAATCATAATCTTTAAAAAAACAAACTTAAAATTACATCTATTGTGCTGCAGTTTTGCAAGCAACTGTATAGATTTGGGGGGAAAAAACTATTTAAAAATATTTTTTTTTCCCATTTGTCTCTCACTTCTTTGGAAGACACTCAATGCCATGGAATTGAGAGACCGGGAGAACAGACCCCCATAGGAGATCCCTCTGTTCTCCACCAATAGTAACCACAGCACATGCGCTGTGGTTGTTATGGTAACTCCATAGACGGCAGAAATGTTGGCATCATGGAGCAGGTTTGACCTGCTTTGGAAAGTGTCCCTAAGCAGGACAAATCAGCATAGAACAGAAAAATAGCAGGGAGCAGAGGGTCAGGTAAGTGTGACAGATTCACTTTAAAAATAAATAAATAAAAAAACTATAGTGATTAAGATCCAATTAGGCAGGCATGAAAACCAGAGGGGACCAGAGAAGGTTTGAGATCCCACAGGGCCATAGCCAGGTTACTGATCCCTTCCTCCCTTCATTCCTCATATAATAGTAGTTAATGGGAGCATCTTAATGATGGCTAAATGACTGGGTCTGGTATGCAGTGGTTAGTACCTACCAAAAGTGGTGCAAGGAAGAACAAAGAGGGAACCGGCATAAAAGTCATGGGTGTCCAAGGCTCATTGATTGATGGTTGTGAGCGTCAGAACTGGACCATGGAGCAATGGAAGAAGGTTCCCTGGTCTGAGGTTTCAAGATTTCTTTTAGATCAGGTGTATGGTCTGCTGCATGTGCATCGTACCTCGGGAAAAGATGACAGCAGTATGCACTATGGGAACAAGGCAGACCAGTGAAGGCAGTATTCTGCTAAGAGTAATATTCTGCTTGGAAACCTTAGGCTATTACATTCATGTGGATGTTACTATGGCACGTACCACCTACCTAGAGGTTGTTTAAAAAAACATATACTCCTGCTCATGGCAATGGTGATGCTTGGCAGTGGGCTTTTTCAGCAGGATAACGCATTTTGAAATAACGAGTTCAAGTTGTTGCCTTGGACTCCAAATTCCCCAGATGTCAATCCGACTGAACAACTGTGGGATGTGCTGGAACAACAAATATGATCCAGGGAGGCCTTACCTAGCAAATTGCAGGAGTTGAAGGATCTGTTGCTAACTTCTCCGTGCCAGATACCACAGGATACGTTCAGAGGTCTTGTGGAGCCCATGCCTCGATGGATCAGAGCTGTTATTACAGCACAAAGAGGATCTAATGATATTTAGGCAGGTGGTTTTAATGTTCTGGTTGATTAGTGTGTATTTTAACTAGAAAAAAAATATAACAACCAGTGCCAAATTTATGGTAAAGTTGGTTTATGTGTACAGAAGATGTATAATGTGTGTGCATTTGGGATGTAGTGTGTATAGCTTTAGATGATCTAGCAAGTGTGCGTATAGGGATGTGAGTAAAGGGGATATAGCGAGAATGTGAATAGGGACTGTAGTCTGTGTGTGTAGAGGGGATGAAAAAGGGTGCAATACATCTAAAACAATACAAAATTTTACAAACAAATAAGGATGTGCATGTGAAATTCATATTGTTTTGTTTTGTTAATATTCAGATTTCGGTTAGCCCAAAATTCAGAAAACACCGATTTGGACGAACCAAATTTAATCCAAAAATATTGCTCTTTCAACTTTTTAGTAGACAGCTCCCTAATTTGATATCCTTGTGTGGGATCGCCTTAATTAAGGGTTAAGCAAATAAAAGACCAAGTTAATCAAAGGGCTCTTCTCAGCCTTGTTCTTTCAGCTATCTTGAAGATAAGGATACCAAATTGGAGAGTTAAGTGATATTGTCAATTAAGGGTACAAAATTAGGGACACATCCACCAAGCAACTGAAAGAGCAAAATCAAGAAAAGTGTTTTTCCAAATCCATCTCTTACAACTGTCAAGTACACAGCACCCCAATTCAGGGACGATCCTAGGGTCACTAACACCTGCGTGTAACAATATTTTTGGCTCCCCAGGTCAGCGTGGCTATATTGCTTCCCTTCACAAACATAACACTTCTAACCACACCATTTTCTATGGAAACCACTTAACCTCTTTGGACCCCTAAATTCACCAGGTAACATGTAACCCACTTACTACAGTACCAGATTCATCCCTCAGAAGCTTCTCAGTGTCACCTTTGTGCCCAGCTTCCCAGTGCCATCTCAGGCCCCATAAATCTACCCAGTGCCATATTTGTCTCAAAATAGCTAACCGGTGCCCAAATAGCTTATCAATGCCAGGGACGGATCCAGAACCTAATCTTAGGAGCGGCACTGGTAATAGGCTGTGCTGGAGTGATAGGGGCTGTAATTGAGGTGTTAGGATTGCCATAATTAAGTATAGAAAATTATGGACTTATCCACCAAGCAACCAGAGGACCAAAACCAAAAAGGGCTTTTCTAAGTTCTGCTCCTTCAGCCATCTAGCAGACTATTTCCAAGTTCAGTATCCCTGTGTGGTATCCTTACATTAATTTGACTTTATGCAGGTTTATTCCCCTCTCCGGGCTTCCTACCTGTGGCCAGGGAGAAGGGACATGCATATACCTGGTGGTCCAGTGGTGAGGCACTTTAGCCTGCATGTCCACTGGGTCCAGACTAAGTACCTTCTTCTCGCTACCTCCTGCAATGTGCAGCATTGGAATGGACATTGAATGGCTGGGCTCACAAGAGGAATACTCTCAGTCTGCACCTTTGGTTCAGACTAGAGTCTCCCTGCCTCCCTACTTGCCACAGAAGGCTGCCCTGGGCTGGTTAGATCTCCCCACCAGACCAGTCTATGGCTGTATGCATACACATATACACCCACATGGCTTATTAAGATGACTCCAGAACTATGATATTGCTCAATAAACAATACACAAGATCCAGCGCTGGTGCAAGGATTTTTATCTACATAGGTAAATATTTATTTTGTCCCTTATTCACACTCTTCTCTTCCCTGTATGTGCAGCTCTCACAGAGATATAATTAACACATTTTCCAGCATCCATAATGTTTGGGTGAGAGCACACTGTCATGACTCCCACGCTCACATGGCCCCACAAACAGGGCCAAATGTATTTTTAATCAGTCTGTAGGTGCAGAATTTGTGAATGGTAGATAGATAGATAGATAGATAGATAGACACAGACAGACATTCTTACACACACATTCATTCAAATTCATAAACATATTCATACACAATCTCACACACACCATACACACACTCACCCACACACACATATATACACAGATATTCTAACACAATGACACATACACATATTCACACACATTCATAAGCATTCTCAGACACATACACAAGATCACGGTAATCACTGGATCTCATGGAATCACTGTACTCTTCCTGCACAGCTCCTATCTGTGCCTTTTAGTGATACTCGGCCAGAGTGACCACAACAAGGAGCTTGAGAGAGCTGTGCAAGAAGAGAACATTAAGAACACAGCTCCCTCACTGCTGCGTATCAAATCTCCGAAAGAGCATTTTTTTCATGCCCCCCACCTGGAACTTCCTAATGTACTGTAAAGGGGTTCATGTTTAGGGATAGTGTTAGTATACTGTAGGGGTTAATAGTCAGTGATAGCAGAGTGTAGTGTAGTGTTTAGTGTGCATTGTAATGTGTTAGGCGTTTCTATGGGTAAGGACTTTATGATAAGGGCAGGATTTGGACATACATGAGTTTAGTGGGAGTTACAGTCCTCGATTAAAATGGCTGCATGTCCTGGTTCTGCTTAAGAATAGTTCCTCCCCAAACTGTGTTCAATCTGTGCATTATTACCAATTTATTATGGGGAATAATTGCACAAATTAAATGATCATCTGTGTAATATGGGAGTAGAAAACATTATATATCTAAAAAGTTCTACTTATCTACTAGCCATAGGCAAGTGGAAATTCTCCCATAGTGAGTGTGCCATCAGCCCTGCAGGCTTACTTGTAGGCCTGGCTAGTAGGACTTGGAAGTTTGATCCCTGTATACAGATAGTCCTCACTTACAGACCGGGTTCTTCATAAAACTAATTGGACGGTAAGTCAGGTAGCGCTACAGAGCATGCTCTACAGAGTAGGTCTACGTTTGGGGGAATTTCTCAGAACATAGGCAAGCGCACAATAGAGGGAATCTCTGTAATCTATGTTTGGGGAAAATTCCCCCAACATAGACCAGCTCTCTAATGTGGAGAATCCCTTGAATCCCCGCGCTAGAGAGCTGGTCATAGGTCTGAGCCGTCATTAAATGGGTAAGTCGTAAAGTGAGGACTACCTGTAAATATATATATTTAAATATATATTTACAGTATGAGCAAATATGCATAGGATTAAACAAATAGAAATAACTATTGTTATGGTGAACAGAAACTACCATTAATCTCATTAAGTGAAAGCTGATCCAATATATGCTAAATAGTCTAGGTCAGATAGCATGCTGTGGTATAGGCACCCAGTTGGGACCTGTGATCCTGTACACAGAGGTTCTTTGACATCCCGGT